CCTACGTCTCATAGAGAAATATGGATGGCTTCGTTACATAAATAATAATTTATTTGCATTTGTTAGTTACATTGTTAAAAAAATGTGTAAAATATGAACGCGTGTCTGAAACACGTTTTAAGCCATATTTTCTCTATTCTTTAGATTTCCCTCCCATGTCTAAAGTATTTTTGTATATAGTATTTTTTTTTTCAGATGGAAAACGTGGGGTTTTTTTCTTTGTCACGGCGCTGCTGAGGTCATTTGCAATGAGGCACATTGCAAGGCACGCTGGGGTGTAAAAAATATGGCACATGCAGAAGTAATTAAAATACATACATACATACATATATATATATATTCGCATACAGACAATTCGTAGACAAAGAGATAATTAAGTACAACAGATAAAAAATAATATTTACATTTTAATAAAACAGATGAATACACTTTATATACATACACTTAGCAGAAAAACTCTGCGTACAGAAAGTAAATTTTGTTTCAACATATAAAAAATTACTAAATAAATAAATTTTTTAAATTAATTTTATTTTTGGTTAGTACTTTTATTTGTTATTTTCATTTTAAGGTAAAAATTATTTCTAACAGATTAGTAGAAAAATTATAATAATTAAAAATGTAAAAAATCAGCGCTTTCGGTGGCAGAAAAAGTCTGCGTACAAGAGTTTAAAAAGCGTCGAAATATATTATTTTTAAAAAGATTTTATATTTTCAGTAACTTGTTGGATAACCTTTCCTTTTTACGAACTTCATAAGTCGTTTTGGTATCGAATTGACCAGCTTCGCAGTCTCATTACTGCTTATTTTACCCCATTCCGCGTCGCTCACGTTCTTCAGCATTTCTTTGGAGGTTATATTGTATTTATGTACCCGACGCACCAGCAAATCCTATAAATGGTCTATAGGATTCAAATATGGCGATTATGATGACATTTTGATTTGCTTGGGCACATTTTAAAGCAACCAAAGCTTTACAACTTCTGCCGTGTGCTTTGGGTCGTTATCTTGTTGAAGTAAGTAATTGTTCTGTAACCCCAACTTCTTGGCACTGCTCTTTAAATTGCATTTTAAAACATTTAAATGATCATCTTTATTCATTATCGACTCAATGAATTCCATTTTTCTCACTCTATTACTCGCCATACACCCCCGCACTATTACTCCTCCACTACTGTGTTTTATTGTTGAATACAAATCTTCATTATTAAGGGCAGTACCTGGAATTCACCATATAATCGTTTGACCTTTAATGCTAAAGAGACAAAATTTGCTTTCGTCTGAAAAAATTATGCGTTTCAATATTCTGGAGACATTTAAATACTCCCTTGCGAATGCTAAATGCTTCATTCTAATAGCTTTGGAGATAAGCGGCTTGCTTCGTGCAAACCGACCATGGTAGTGGTATTTTTTTAATATTTTGTGTACAGTATCTACGTGAATTTGCTTCTGGAATGTCTGGTCAATATATTTCTATAACAGAAGTTCAGTTAGACGAGGATTATCTTTCACTGAATTAATAATGCTGCGGGTTTCTCTTGTTGACAGCTTGGATGGACGCCCAGATCCCAACTTCGAGGTCAATAATTCTATTTAGTTGTAGTTGTTCACTACTCTTTGGATAAAAGAAAGTGACCGCTTAACGATTTGACCAATTTTGCGATACATTTTCCTTTTTTTCCATAGATCAATAATAATACTGCTCTCACTGATAATAATTTCTTTTCCTTTATTTGTAATTAAAAATTTAATTACTTTTTAATCATTAAATTATAAAATAAGTGCGTGGGATTGTGTATAATGATATTCTGGTACAGTAAAACATAAAGCACGCCAAAGTTCTACTATTAAAGCTTCGGGAATTCCCCTTTATATGTTTTGTACGCAGACTTTTTCTGCCACCGATAGCGCTGATTTTTTACATTTTTAATTATTATAATTTTTCTACTAATGTGTTAGAAATAAGTTTTAGCTTAAAATAAAGTCAACGAATTAAACTACAAACAAAAAATAAAATTGATTTAAAAAATTTATTTATATAATAATTTTTTATATGTTGAAACAAAATTTACTTTTTGTACGCAGAGTTTTTCTGCTAAGTGTATGTATCACATTGAAAATACATACATACATGTAGATAGATACGTGCATACATATGTATGTATTGACATATGAAATGAAAAAGAAATTTGACATTGAATCGAAAGAAGGTTCTTTAATGAATTTAAACGCTTTAAAGTTCAAATTAAACTTTAATTCCTAAAAGATATTGTTATTAAACGGGATAGTGGTACATTATGATCTATTGTGTTATATTGAAAGAGAAGCTTCTAAACTAAATTGTAAATTAATAATATCTCCAGGTACAAGATCTCAGATCAGATTTAGTTTATTAGAAGTCTTATTTATACTTCCATTAGATTTGTTTCTTGGCAATCGCATTATTCTTTTGACATAATTTCCAGATATTATTAATCCCAACTTCGAAAGGTGATAGGCTAACAGGAGACGCTAGTTTAAAAACTTTTTATTAATCTGAGTTAATTTGTACTGATAAACCTATTAAATGAATTGTTATTGATTCAAAATTATGAGTTGATTGAAATGCTTTAGACTAGTGGTTCCCGATCAGTTACCTCTCTTATAGCCTACATAATGCATCTATGCACTTATACAATTCATTACACATTATAGCAGAGATGCATACAGCATATTAAAAAAATCATACAGTTTATTATACTTAAACTTTTTTGGTCCCTACTAAAACCAAAAATATCATAGTGGATCTTGTTCAAAAAAAGGAACTACTGCTTTAGACCTTTAATCTAAGCTCTCTTAAATGACATACTATTACTATATAGGTCTCTAAAGAGTCTCTTTTAACCAAATCTTTAAAAAAAATTATTTTTAAACCACTATTAGTAAGACAGATTAACGCTGTTCATACGCAGACCAGAAGGATTTGTGAATAGATTGATGTGGTCAGCATACGAGCACGACTCCAATATTCAAGTGAAAGTGAACCAACCTGATGAATCTGTAAACTTGACCAAGTCCCTAATTTTGTAGGATGACAGCGCTGCCAGATCTGAAGAAAATGAGTTGCGAAGATTACGAATTTTTTCTTAGCCAATAATAGGTGTAATATGGGAAGGGTGCGGCTTAAATTGCAATGAACCTGGATCAAGATGCAGAAACCTGGCCAGTTTATACTGTTACTCTTAATTTATTTAGCTTTATTAACTAAAAGTTTACACAATTACAGAGCAGATGAGCTAGCCAGAAAGGGTGCTTCAGGACCTCACTCGGAACATCTAAGTAATTTAGGTATATCGTTAACATCATGCAAATTGTTACTGAATTCTTTTTAATAAGAGATGGGAAGACTTAACGATATGCAGGCATTTGTATGCAATTTGGCCACTTTCCACTAAAAGGAAATTCAAAATTCTCATTGAGTTGCCCCTCTACGGGAATTCTAAACCTAAACCTATCTTTTGGTAGGTTTACTTACAAGTTACTGCAAACTAGGGAACCATGCTAGAAAATTGTATCTTCCTTGCAAACATACTTGTCGCAGCTGTGAGGAAGACGATGAGAGTGTCTCTCATCTACTCTGTTTGCTCCGCTCATGCAAGGTGACGCCTAAACACTTTAGGAGCTCCTTTTTTTTTTGAAGATTTTAATCAATTACAAGTCTTCACATTAAACAGCATTTTGAGCTTCACCTGAGATTCTAGGTGGTTTTAAACCCTGAGTTTTTCCTATAAATACTGTAACACAATGGACCAATAGGCCTAAGTGGATCTTCTAGGCATAGTCGTTATAATCTAACCTAACCTACTAAAAGTTTAATTTTGCTTTTATTGTAAACTTGAATGAATTAATTAGGTAACTTCTTGTCTAATTCTTCGAGAGTTTTATCGTGATATGTTAATAGCTGTAAACTGCTCTATATTATAATTTTTTCTTAAATAATAATGAATGTTTTATTTTTGAGCAGTTATTGTGTTAAGTATTTTAGGCTTATCTAGTCTTAGGTTTTATGATAAATAAAAGAATAAACGGTTTTTAACTAAATTATTATTATTTTAGTTTATTTTATAATGACATCCTCACCAGATTATCCTAAAACTCCAACATTAATTAATAAATTAAACAAACTTATCTCTTATAATATTAATAATACATTTTATTTACAGAGTTTTTAATAACAGATTATTTCAACAAACAGTGCTTCAACAAATTAAAATAAATTCAAATTTAAATATTAATATTAATAATATTAAGATAAAAATAAAATTCTAATTTTAAGTTTTCATATTAGAAAGTATTTAATATTAGTTCGCATTAAATCAACTCACACGTACAAAATTTAAATTATAAAAATAAATAAATAGGATAATATTAATATATTAATAAATTCATATTTATATCAGCTAACTAAGTTTACTGGAACAGCAATGAAGGCTCTCTTAGGCCCGGTAAACATATGCGGTAAAAAAAAGCGCTGCTTAATGTGATATGATATATTTCATGACAAAATAATCGCAGCGGGCACTTTGGTTAGTGCGAACTACTCAATATGAACTTATGTACTAATGTGCTATAGTACAATAGCTTGCACGATGGGTAGTGTGCACTGCAGAATGTGAGCTAATATATCTTATAACCGCTTCGCAAGGAGATATATAACCGGACCTCAAGGAGATATTGACAGGACCAGTAGTTTTTTTCTGTTAAGAAAACTATTTGTTCGCAGGAACGTACTTTATATAAAAACTGAAAATAGGAGACCAACAGTATTGAGCTGTTAAGTGAGCTGTCCGTTAATGGAAGCGCACTTTTAACAGAGTCTTCAGTGTACTAAATATGTAAGAACTTTTATAATGACCACTTAAAATATATTCACATATTAATACTTTAAAATTAAATTGTATTCGAATAACTGAAATAAGTTTTAAAATAAATTTCTAATCATAACATTAGGAATTAACTTATTAAATATTTATAGACTGGATTGTAATAGATTTTTCTGCTTTTTTGTAATAATTATTAAAATTAAACAATTGTAAGAATTCGCCTAACTCTTTCTGATAACCTCCTACTACCATTTTGTCACCTAAATATATAATGAATTCCACCTGTTTTTCAAATTCCACTTCGGCGGTAACCAATCTAGCGAAATGTGGATGTGTGAAGTATTCATCATCAGAATGTCGGACAAAATCATGATCTTTTAAAATACTATAATAAAAAATAATTATTATTAATTAAAGAATACAGTATTACACACTACAGACAAACTTTCATAACTCGAAGTACCATTTTGAAAAAGAGTTACGACTTATGAACACTTCGAGTTAAAGAATTCTTTTGTTATTGCGTGTAATTTGCTCTCTAAACCCAGCTGCACTCCATTTAGTTCGAGTTATAGTAAATTCGAGTTATAGAAGTTTGAGTTATGGAAGTTTGACTGTATTTTCAATACTCACTAGTAAAATTTTATTAGAATTTTAAAAATGTTTTCGATGGTGTCCATGAATCTTGTGCTACTGCGATTAATCATGCACAGGAACATGATGCGTTTCAGATATGCAGCATGAGTACGGTATATATCCTCGATACAATTGCAGTTCTGCAATTCATCCTTGAATATTTTCCATGATCCCTGCAATGCCGTGGCAGTTATGTGATTTTCAATCATGTGCACAAAGTGTAAAAATTTATAACGAATTCCATGTATACGTAGAAATTGTGGAGATTTAAAAAGTTCTCGGCCATGCTTCCTGACAGCCATTTTAAGTATACAACAGCAATTCTCAAATAGCCAACTTATGCGTTTTACTTTGACAAGAAATCTGAATATTTTCCCGTATCGCTCCAAACTTTCCTCATTGAGTATTATATTTAAAGGCCAATGGATCAAGTACGTTAGGGTTAAGCTTTGCAGCACATTTGGTGAAAAGAGATTAAATTTTTCAGGTACATTGGGTATAGTAAATGACAAATTTTTGGAATTTTTATCATTACCTGTAAGTAAAATAAATACAGATGATATATTTAATTAAAAAAAAAAAAAGATATTTTTTTACCACAAAAACTAAAGAACAAAGCTTTGTGAAGCATTGTGTGTAATGTTTGGCCACAAAGTAACTCTTTAGGTGACATGCCTTCCTCCAATTGCGAGATTATTTCATGACAAATCTTTAGACTGAACTCGCCATCCATTAACAGGAAATAGTTGCGTAAACTCTTAAAATGTCCAAAAAGTTTCAGGTCAACTATGAAGAAGCGCATGATTTCATTGTTGACTGCTTTGTGATACACTCGCATCGGTATTGTAACAGATTTTTGTAAGAATTCTGTTAGTGTTATTACATCCAAATTATCTACATTAATTTTTTTCACAGGTCTCTCACTTGGCTTTGCTAGTTGTAGTAGCGGAGTTCGTGATGTGCTTGTAAAATTACTTTTCAAAAGCTCCAAACTATGTTGATACGCATATTCATACTCGGGTTCTGGACTAATATTAGTTTCTGTTTCATTGCTTTTGACCAAACCAATATTTGTACTTGACTCAGTTGAAGAATCGCATATTTCTTCCTTTTTTGGTACGTTAAACTTAAATCCTTCTTGGTCCATGAGTCCAGCAGTATTAAGTGCAGATTCTGCAGTAAAATACATATTTGTATCTGCACTTGAACTTGGTTGTTCTGTAGTTAAAGATGCTTCTTTGGCGAGATCTACATTTATTTTGAGTCGTGGCAAATTGCCATTTTCTTTGTCTAATTTTTCCATATGTGGTATGGTTACTTCTGACGCAGATTCAGTAATTGGAGTATCAGAGGTCGTGGACATTGGAGTTAAAATTTCAATTGCAGGTTTTATTTCTGGTATTATGTCAAATTCACTCTGTAACACCTTTAGACGATTTCGTGCTAAGTCTGTATTAAGATTTAGATTAAGATTGTTACGACCTGCGAATGGTTCTTTATTATACTCGGTGAAGAGATCGTTTTGCATCATACGTTTGCGATTACGTTGTAAATCCGTGAGCTCGGTATCTGTCACAGTGTTTAGATTTACATCACCCAACGCTTCGGTTAGTTCCGTTTGCTTTGCTTCACTTAGAGCGACACTATCTAAGAGAGCTAATGATATAAATTATTTATAAAAGATTAAATTAACACAATTAATGAATGAAAACAAAAGGTTTAGTAATTTAAGAACATTGGTACCATAGATCTAATAGGTCGCAATTTGTCTCTTCTAATAATCATAATTTGTAAACAGTTTTTCTCTTGTAGACAATGGATTAAAGCAGAAATGCTCGATTTATTCATTTGATAAAACTTTCTTTTATTCTTTGTTTATTGTTTTTATTACCATAGGGGAAATCCCCCACTGATATAACAACAGGTCCTTAATCTAAGCAAGGTCAGTACTCTCTACTGGACCTTGCTTAGGTTAAAACTTTTAAAAATGCTTAGTGGCTTTACCTAAAGAATATAGTTTCAATACTTCTTAAATTCAAAAAAATTATTAATTGCAAAATATACAAAGAGATATAACAATATCTGGTATCGTTGCGAATCAACAGGTCTATACGTGAATTTCAGCCAACCAGTTTAGACAATATTTATCTATAATTTAACTTAATAGTGCAGCTGATTATAATATATAATACACCGTACACAATGTAAATGTTATCGCTATTAGCACCTCGGCGGTACCTACTAAGTTAGTTGTTAAACAACTAATATTCTAAACAATTACTAATTGTGTATTTACCCGATCTTCTAGTTCAAATAAAGTAATAAAACTATACACCCTGCAGGGTGAGATGTAATGACGGCTACTTTCGGTACAGAAAAATTGTTCATAGATGTTAAATGAAGTGCTTTAATTCCTATATATATGCTGAATATCTTGTTTAAAAAAAGCGTAAGTTCGAAATCTTCCATAAAAGTTTCCGCAGTCAATTTGTTAGTAAAACTAAAACAGGAGAGACTTTACTTATATTTTTCACATATAAGGTTTAATACTGTTGTTGTTGTTGTAGTAACCCGCTGAGAATTGTAAGCAGATAACATGAAAGGATATATAGGACGATTACAAGAGTGGAAAGTGGGTGGGAGTGCTGGAGGGAAATGAGGATGGGATATAATGGATGGATGGGATTTAATTGAATATTAAACTTGGTCTAGACAGCGAAACCTGGTCACTTCAATGGGTTGGGTCCAAAGATCAATTGGACGGAGGTGTATGTACGTTGGTTGGTCGTAGAAGGACCAACCGACTACCAATAGTTCTTAGCTATATTCTACGAAATCGATAATAAAGAAGAGTTTGATATATTAGGATTTTTGCTGATAGACTTCACTAAATTTGTTAACGAATGTAAGACTCAGTTTTTAAAAAAGATGAATCTAAGCTATAAATTGCTAATCCCGCGAAAGTACTTAGTTTAGGTGGGAATAATTTTCTTGTTTTAATTTTCCCAAATGTGTTATTGTTACTAATCACGCAGAGTATTAGAGTATTTGAGGTCGTGGACAAAAATCGGTGTGAACTCTTATATTGAAAAGTTCATTATAACTATATTATTATATTACTTTTAAATATGTACATATATATAAGTCATCAATCCACTATAATAAGCTAAAAAGTCCACGCATCTGAACCTTATATTACTGTGTAAATAAATAACTATTCTGCTATAAATATATTGCAGTGAGGAATGCATCACACGTAATCAGTGCGATTACGTGAGTTCATTCTCTTCATTGTTAGTGATGATATTTCATTGAATATGATAGATATATCTACTAAAAACAAGAGATAAAGTAAATCTACTTACATTCTTTGTGAATATTGACATTCATATTAGCAGTAGACGTAGTAATTTCTGGTTTTACATCGTAATATTGTAATAAAATTGTGCTGCCTAACACTTTATCGCGATTTTGTTTTAAATAATTCTCTTCCGGTTCAGGTACTACATTTGAATTAATAACATCGGATACGCTATGCTTTAAAGTTGGTACCACAATATTTGTTAAAGTGGCGTTCAGATTTTGATTTGTTATTCCATCATTTAATACTGCATTTGGCACGTTATTGTTGTTTTGTGATTTCTCATTTTTAATATCATTTGGTATAATTGGATCGCTTTGAGTAGAATGTTCGGTAAGTTGATGAGACATGGCATTAATTCTATTTCTTTCTAAATCGGAAAGACAACGTTTGAGTTTTGTTGCAGTCGTATCAATTTCCTTATTTGAAGAAATATCTTTAATATCAGGATTTGAATTGGTTCGTTTAGAGAATTCGTATAAAACTTTCTCATTTTTGCATTTTTGATTAATCATGTCTTCATCTTGTTGTTTAACTATTTCTTTAAGTTCATTGTAGTAATCAATACGTTTCTGTAAAATAATATTCTCCTTTACTAAACGCTCATCTTCAATTTTTTTAGCCTCTGCCATAATTTGTAGATCTTCTTCAATATTCTTCAGTCGATCTTCAATTTTACGTTGTCGATCACTTTCCATTTGTTGTTGTAGCATTTCGAAATTTTTTTGCTTTTTATCTGCGGCTTGTTGTGAAAGTGTTTTTTGTTCTTCCGTCCACTTATCAATATATTCGCGCACACGTTGTACAGAAGTCTCCTGAAGTTTACGTTTCTTCTGTTGAATATCTTCTAAAACATTTTTCATTGTCACTGGTTGTCCACACACCTCCATTGCTGTTTTGTGGAATTTTTCACAATCTCTATAGAGGTCTTGTATCCCCTCATGAGTTAAGTGAACTGTTAAAGCTGGACATTTTAGTTTAAATAATGGGTGCTAAAAAATAAAATAGTTTAAGTAAAATAAGTGATGATCTCGTTATATTTACTGGCGACTTCAACGTAAATAGAAAACTAAAACATTGGAGTTGAAATTATAATTGGATGACTAGCATGAGGGATAATATTGTTTTCATCATAAGCTAATGATTGGTGGCATGAATTGATCTTAATAAAAACTTGTATATCCAATACTTCTAACTATAACACATATACGTAAGCATGTGCAAGATCAAAACCCTTCACGATGTTAGAAATAAAAGCGGTTTAAAAATAGAACGCTATACTAAAAACGACGTCATCAGTCTAAAATAATTGGTAGAGGTTTTAAACATGTATATTGCAAGACAACAGTGATAAGACTTTTATATCAAACACTCATAACAAAAGTATGAAGAGTTCAGAGGAATCAATACTATAAGACTAGTAAAAACTTAATGGGAAAACTATTTTTGAATCTTTTTCCTATCCTTTCCCAAATTGAGAAATACTGGCGATCTATTCTAATCCATAACAAATACAACAAAAATACCAAAAATAACAAATACAACAAAAATACCTGGCATAGACTATTTCAAGCTCTTTAACTATAAAACTATCAGCAATTTTTCAGGGATGAATGCGGTTGATAGTTTACAAATAATGTTGAAGGGCATCATATTCTCTTATTCAAATGAATTTAGTTGTTATTTATACACTAAACTTACTGAATGATTTTTAATTTTCAGGTTTAAAATTGAAAAACGTATTCCTTCTTCTCTTCAAAGCCACAACCAAGATAAAACTCGTTATATAGTAGATCAAGTCTCATAGCATATCTACATAGTACGCAGCACCGATACCGTAGTTTTCAACAGGTTCTGCTTTAATTGTAATAGCTGACTGATATGTTTTTTGTCCATACTATGATCAAGGAAATCTCGAGATCTGCTGGTAATTTTTATCTGCCCAGGTTTTTCAGCTATACTTAGATATTTTTGTTCAATATCCAAAAAATGACTATCAGAAAAAAAACACTCAATTGGAAAGCTCGTCTGTTCTGAATAGTCAAGCAATTGGATTGTCCGAGAAGGGAAGACAATATATACATTTACCAAAGAATGTTTTATAATTCCATTTGTGAGGGGTCTACAGTTACTTGTCACCATCACTGTTTTTGAGAATGTTGAAACCTCATGACTTATAAAAATAACAATAACCATTTGCAAGGTAAAGTTAATAACATGATCAGCGAATATGATTAGCGAAAACAGTTATTTTTGCACAATAATATAACAAATGTTATTGTGAATAGAACTAAGTGTATATAAATATAAAACTTACATTTGGTTTAATTGCTCTAAGTAACATGGTATGTTTGCCACATTGCAATATACGGTCCTCATATTTTTGCAGGAAACCGGGTACATTTTTCTTATTAACATAATGAGCTTTGTCGTAAAAGATTTTGGTATTGTTCATATATCGATTAGAAAAATGTATAAAAAGTTCATCAAAATTATCATCTAAAACACCGCCAAATATCCACTTCTCTAGATATCTGTAACAAACATAACAAATATAAACTGTTAACCAATCTTTTTACAGTTCTTATACATACTTGAAGTAAGCATGACATAGGCGTTTGATGAAAAATATAAAAAGTGAGATGCTTCTTTTATCTGTTAGGCGGGTAACTTCATTATAGAAAAAACAAAGCAACTGGGCGCCCACTGGTGGATTTATTTTCACAGCTATTACAAAATTTAGTCACTTATTAATTGTTCATAAATATCTAATCAACTTACCATTCGGCTTGGACATTAAGGCATTTGTTAAATATATTATTTGTTTTGTTATTTTTCGCATACGAAATTGAAAACTTAATAATCGTTTATCCTCTATAGAGAATACAATTTGACGAAATGTCATTAAATATTCATCCAAAGCACTACAAAACGTCTAATAGAATAAAATTAATATTTTTTTCTGTAATTGGTTTGAAAATAAATTACCTTAAATAAAAATCCATTTTGCGTATTATTTCTTAGACGGCAAACTGCTTGTAAACGTTTATAACATGTACCGCACTCTAAAAAAGGTTGAACATAGATTCGAACGGAGTCAGGCAGCAAATTTTCGGTGGTATAATCTGGTTCCATATCGAATATAAGTAATGTATTGTGCTTAAATATATCTGACTGTATACCAACTTAATAAAAAAAAGTATAATTCAGTATATTGTTTTTGATTTTTGTACTACATTGCTCACCAGTTAGCGATTTCAAATCTTGCAGAAACAGCTGAACAGGAACTATTTTTGCAATGAACTTTTTACCATTGCGTTCATCTTGCAAACTCTTCAAATCTAATAATATATTGGTTTCGCTAACGAATAGTTTTTCTTTTTTTATTCCATAACAACCCAAATTTTCCCAGTTCCAAGATATCAAATCGTATGTGTCATCTGTTTTAGTAACAGACTTGCAAGTTTTGGTGGTTTCATTTGATATGTTCGTTTGATTAAATTTATCTTTGCCGGAATTCTAAAAAATTTTAAATCAATTAGGTGTAATAAAAAAAATTAGTTACTTACGATATGTTTATCCTTATTTGGATTTAATATGCTGAAGTTTGGTAAACTTATACCACACAATCGATGTGTCATTTCCGTAAAGGTACACATTTTTCGTGGCGTTATTTGCTCCACTGTTGAAATTATATTATCCTTAGCATGTTTTAAAGAAAATGTGTTTTTTGTATCATCCACATTAAATTTTGGCAAGTAAGGATTATCGGCATTTTTAAGTGCTTGTATGCCTTTAAAATAACATGGGGTTGGACTGCCAATAAAATTACGTATATCCTTGGGATAACATTTACTATCTTCATAACTACCAAATAAAGTAAATGGAGCAGGAATAAGTAGTGTTGGCTCCTTAACTACAGGCTAAACATTTAAAATAAAAACAATTTTATATTGCATTTATAATTTACTTTGAAAAACATACCTGATCCTCGTATTTATTATTTTCCAACAATAAAAGAAATTTTAATATATCTTTACCAGGTCCATTGTTGAAATAGTTCTCCTTTTCAATATCCTCCACTTGCGCTTCAACTGCTTTAATTTTTTGCACTTCCAATGCATTGTTTTTCAGGATTAGTTTTGCTGCAAATATATGTGCGTCTAGTTCACGAAAGGGTTCGGTATCATTTTTTCTTTCTTTGTTTGAAAGTGGAACTTTTTTTAACAATATTTCAAAGGACTTTGATTTAAGTTTTATTAATTGCTTTTGCGGCAATAAATTTTCTTGGCCTGCAATACTACAACAAAGCTCCGATATCAATTTATTCACGTTAGCCCCATTACTGCAGTCCACTTTCAATGCTTCCGAATTGTACATTCTATTTATTAGTATTATTTATTTAATGTTATAAAATTTCAAATATTAAGTAATTAATTTAGCTTTAAAAATTGTTAATAGAAACATTCTGTTACATTTGTTTGTTATTTTCTAATCTTGCATTATTGGCACCAAAGTAGTGTATGCGAAAAAAAACAGTGTTGGTTAATGTTCTTTAATTTTAGTCTAACGAAAATATGGGTACAGAATAATTTTCTGCTGTGTTCAGGCTAATGTATTTAATTCGACAAATATTCAGCAATACATGCCAATTTTTATATAAAATTCATATAAAAATATGCAAACGAAGTACGGTAAATCTACGTGTAAACATAGTATTATACCAAGCTTACACTGTTTATTTAGTAATTTAGTTAATTAAGTAATTTTAAAATTTTTCCGTTTCCATTGATAGAAATTACTTTCTTCTATCTGAAGGCAGTTATTAGTTGTGCTGTTCTGACTATTGCAAACGTATATAGATATATTTGTATATTTTCGTTGTAATTTCGAGTTAATGTTTTCATATTTTCATTTGTTTTTATTAGTACTCATAAACGTGGTTGTCACTTATTAGCATTCTCCTAACTGAAGGCAGTTATTAGTTGTGTTGTTCTGACTATCTTGAACATATCTATATATTTTCGTTGTAATTTCAAGATAATTCCAAAAATAAGTTGTTGAGGGACTGTGAACGTATTGTTATAAAATTAAATCAGCTGATTTTAAATTATTTATTTTTCACATTCGTATTTTCTATGGTGTTCTTATTACATATGTTCTAATTTTGTAAAACTTAATAAAAAATAATTTACATATTAATAAATAAAAATAATACTAAAATATATCAAATATACTATTAATGTATAGTAAATTAAGGTGCCAGTATCTGAAAGGGAATTTTATTTCCCTTGTTAATAGCTTTTTAACACTACTTATTTTGACAGTAATCAATCGAAGAGAACAGAACATTTTATTTTTTCACGGTAATGTCGTCTTGTTAAGTTCTTAAAAAGAAAATGAATAGTTAAACTGTAAAATGTCAAATTATCTAACAAAATTATTGAAAAAAGGTTACAACAGATATGAAGAATCGTTTGAAATAATTTTTTTTGGCGACTTTATATTTTTTAGTGCGATAAATTGAATTGAAAAAAACGAAAAATTCCAAGGAGTGTTTTTTCTTAGTGGTGGTGTGAAGAGAAAGTAAGCAATAATTTGACTTAAATCATTCACTCAATTTTCGCAGCTCTCTCACGAGAACCGCAGTTTCTCCGTGAGTAAAGGGCACAGCTGATTATTGTTTACATTTTTTGCTAAACAAAAAATTGTTTGTTTTGATTTAAAACATGGTCAACTTGTAGTGTTTTGTTTGTGTTAGATAATCAATTATTGCTATAGTTTAAAGTTTATTAATTAATTTCTATTTTTTATAGGTGATATTCTAAGCCGGTATTCTAAGCAAGCATAGCATTGATTTTTGTCATTGGATTCAAGGTTGAATTAATAATTTGCGTATGTAAATATAAATGAAAAAATAGAATAACAACAACAAATTCAGTTATGAGCTGCAAAATGTAAACGATTTGAAACTAGAACGATTGATTCGTGTTGTGACCTACTTATTGATTATATTAGTGTATTGATAACAAACTACATTATACGTATTTAATTATATTAAATAAATATAATGCAATGTCGACCAATGTAACAGATTTGTATTTGCGACCATTGCCATGCTTAGACTCGAAATGGTTACGTGCTGAACTGATTGCCAGCTTGCGTAATGTGGAAGATGCTGCTGTGCTATGGAATAATTTAGTGCAATATTCCGAATTGGTATCTACACCAGCTGCTCCCATTGTAAATACTGCTGGTAACCTATCCTATTTGGGCGATGATGGCAAACATTATTGTGGAGCACAAAAACTGCAGTGTTCTTGCTGTCCATCCGATTATTGTGGACCTTTAACGACCTGTAATTGCTATTCATGCCATTTATTGGACTCTGATTCAGCCATTAAAAAAATGACTACTGCAGCACAAAATGCAGCAATTAATCGAATTTCATCAGATGTGATATTTGAATCTTGGCTATGGGGTCAATGTCCGACGAATGCTGGCAAAATAAATTGCCAAAAGACTTTGTTGTCTGAACTGCATGATGTTGCTTTACAATCAGCTAGCAATTGCTTATCACTGGTTCACATTAAACAGCGTTTGTTTATATATGAGCGTTATTTTGTTGCTTTGGAGCGCAGCAGAAAACCAGAAAACCAAAATTTAAACAATCTGAATGCATCCACTGTGTCAATGCCAATGGATAAATGTAAAATAAACGAAGAACAACGAGTATTAAATTTGAGTAATAATTGTAATAAAGAGCGTAATGGTTTAGTGTTTACAAAATTTAAACAACAATCCACGTTAGACATGTGTTCACCCATAAAGAATACGGAACGCGCTACTTTAGGTTTAGCACGTGTAGGTACACGAGCTGCATTGAATTTTTCATTTGCATTCCTAAGACGTGCATGGCGTTCCGGTGAAGATACAGAAATTTGTAGTGAACTATTAACTGAAGCCTTAGAATCATTACAGGACCTACCTGAAGCATCATTATTTGAGTCTTCTCAGGTATATTACGTAAATCTAAAAAAAAATTAATAAGTAAATAAAACGGAGTAATTTTTATTTTAGATTTCTTCGCTTTGGATTGAAGTGCTTGAACGTTCCATTAAGTTTCTACGGCAAGTGGTTGTTGGCGATCAAATAGGTAATCGCTTTGCCGCGCCGCGTGAAGATCGACACACTGCATTAAGTTTACTACTAGAATTAGCAGTTCAAAAAGGTAATCTAACTGCATCACTTGAAGCTATTATATTATTACTGCAGCTGTGGGAAAAAGAAAAGGATACAGATGATAATCGTGATATACCGCGAAATATAGGAGCACCTTTAATGCCTATTCTAAAACGCTATGCAAATCTTTACACTACTAATGCTAGCGCAGTCATTGAAGTGGAAGCAGCTAGCACTACGGAATGTTTTTTACAATTTCTAGTTTTACCTGAAGAGGATACGGGTAAAGTTGATCTCCGTAAAGCAGCCGTTGTAATAATATCACATCTAGATAGAATAGCAAAAGCTTACATACCAACGGGTATAGTATTACAAGGCAATACGATACCTACAAAACACAACAACACAAAAGCAACGTTATGTACACAGAACTCTCAGGAAAGCATGCGTGATAATTCGACCGCAACAGAATCTGCACCCACACCTCAACTACATGAACAGCGTATCTACGCGCTTGGTTGGCCAACTCTAAGTAATGAACAATACGGTTTCACAGCTGAACCAGCTGTGGGCTTACCAACAACAAGTGCTACAACACCTGCCGTGCAGTACTCTGCACCAGTACTGAATTTTTATTTTCAAGTGAAACAAGTTGTGATGTCTGAAAATTATGTTGTATTTTTAACACAAGAAGGTAACGTTTATACGTGGCGTATACTTAAGCCTGAATCTGAACCGATGATAGTTGATGAATTTTCGGAGGTGCATATAGTTTCGATAGCAGCACATTGTGAAGGCAGGCACTACATGGCTGTGGATAATTTAGGTATTTTAATTTGAAATATAATTATATTATTTATTTTGTTTAAATAATTCTCGCATTCAAGGTAATGCATATTCTTGGGGTTGTGGAGATGATGGCCGTTTAGGTCACGGAGACTTAGTGGCGCGTGAAGCACCAACTAAAATACCATGCTTTGAGCAGAATGTTAAATCTGTGCATTGCGGTTCAACGTATAGTGCAGTGATCACAGTTAATGGTACGCTGTATACATGGGGACAAGGTTCATATGGCCGCTTAGGTCATGATAGCACAGATGATAAGCTAACGCCCACAGTTGTAACTGCGTTACGTAACGAAAAAGTTATCGATGTTGCTTTAGGTGGTTTGGATTCTCATACATTGTGTGTGACATTTGAAGGATTGTTATATGCTTGGGGAGATGGAGATTTTGGTAAGCTCGGTACTGGTACAGGTAACGGATCTCAAGTTCCAATGATTGTTGAAAATCTGCCACGTATTAAGCGTGCATATGTTGGGTCGCAGTTTTCGTTGGCTATAAGTTATGATGGCAAACTTTTTTCGTGGGGTAACGTGCATGGCGGACGCTTAGGGCATGCAATGTCTGATAAAAAATTAAATAGTGTAAATGCGCCTAAAATTATAACTAAACTGCAGGTATAAGAATTTAATTTATCAATTTAAAAGGTAACCGTTTTGATTGTAATATTTTTTTTAATTTAATATTTTATGTAGAATAAAATTATCACTGATGTTGCTGTGGGAGTATCACATTGTTTGGCAGTTACCAATAACGGTGAAGTATATGGTTGGGGTCGTAATGATCATCAACAAATATGTCCAACATCTATAAGTACAGAACCAATCCTGCGTGAACCTATACTTGTGACTCATCCGTCCATGCGTGCTCACAGCATTGCTTGTGGCAGTGCACAGAGTATTATATGGAGTCAAACATCAGTACAGGGTATACCAACTAGAGTTCCGTTTGTTATTGATTTGAGTGAACAAACCTTCCGGCTGTTAGAACAATTATTAAGTATTGTATGCGGGTTAGATACGAATAATAGGCTAACACCCAATGAAGAAACTGAATGCATAGCAGTTGCATCACTAAATTTAATACGTCTCCAAATGCATGCGTTACTTGCTAATGGTGTAGCGCCAAGGACAGTTGGCCTGTCAGAAGGATCTCGTTTACTTATAAGTTTAAAAACACGTTTACTTAATCTTGCAGGCGGTTCAAATATATTAATACCAATTCAGGAAGCAGCACAGCAAGCTTTACAGGTATGTTTATTATGTTATATTATGTATATTTTATTTATCATGTATATCAAAACCTCAAATAGGTTGGTTGGAGTGTACTTTTGCCTACCGCAGCAGAACGTGCTAAAACTTTAACTTCACTGCTACCTTCAGAACCAGGATCTTCATCTTCTGGTCATAGGTTTATGACTGATTTACTTGTTGGTTCTTTAATGGCCGAGGGTGGCTTGGAAACTGCTCTTAACAATGCGATAAACTCAGATTCTAATGATAGTGCCAGTAATAGCCACAATTTACCATTGCTACATCTGATTAAGCAGTTGCTGCGCAACAATTCTGCCCAGACACAAGCTAGACTAACACAGTTACTAATTAATTGCGGAGCGATCAAAAACAAAGAAGACAATGTTTTTAACTCGCAGTCAAACTCTAATCTATGCGAACAATCGCCTAGTTTAGATTTATTACATCGTTATCAGCGGCTGCTATTGTCTTATATACATCAAACGAACAAAGAGGATCTCGTTGGGGCAGAAGCCTTGCTTAGCAAATACATACAATGCACAGTATCACTGTGCGTCTTTTCGCTGCAGAAAGCACATGAAACAGCACAGCAGAGTAAAAACGGAGTTGAAGTTATAATGAGTACTGATATTTCAGATACGCTTCTGTATGAACTGCTAATCGGTCTAATTTTAATTAAACGTGACAAACCTGCATTTTTACCTGGTTTTGAATGGAATAGAATATTCTTGCCATTATTACTCTCGTTAGACAATTTCAATCGGCTTTTAGGTGACTGTGAAATTCAAGATGCTGATGATATGGGCTGGCCAGGTATTATATGTCGTGGCAATCAGAAGCAGTATTCTGCCATGCAGGAAGATATTAACCTGATACGTAAAGTTGATCTCGAAAACCATATTTTAGATGGTGGTAAATGGATAATATTAAATGATTTTGTCTGTGACATAAATGATTACAAGTAAGTTTCAGCATTTTTAATTGCAAATAATTTTATTATAATAAAAACTTAATGGCTAATATTATTTTTCTTTCAGAAGCGATTGCACAGTTATAGACGAATTTCTTTTAGCAAGTATTGGAAAAGATCTCACTAAAGAATTAAATTCCTCAATGTATCGCAACAATTTAGAATACATTTTGAATAATTTTAAAATTGGTCGTTATGCACCGAGCATTATGGATGAAAAGGTACATTTCCTGTAGCTGTAAACGTTGTCCGTAAAATTTAAACTTTTAAAATCAATTTTTTTTAGCCACAAATACAATACAACAAAGCGTTGACTCATTTCAATTCGGAACGTGCATTGGCATTTCTACTCGGCGTTGTTGCTAATTTACTTCAAGTAGGCCCACCATTGCAACCAGCTGAGCTGCAGTGCAAAAATACAATTCAGACAAGTATTTTAAGTGGTGGTCTGCAAGTGCTACAGCCAAGTAACCCATTCGATGAGGAAAAGGGCGAAGCTAGAAGTAGTGCAAGTACAGCAGGAAGCACACCGACAGAACCTCCAGCACACATTTTGCCATTGAGCAACACGACTTCCTCAGCTAGTAATAACATACAACAACGTATCGATAGCTTTATAAGTGCTTTGGGTGAAGCACGTTTAACAGATCCATTTGTCGTAACATGGTTGACACTGATAGAACGTTACTGTAAAGAGAATAACTTAATATGGCATCAGGACTTTCAACCTGAACATCCAGTTCAAGAATTGGAGCGTTTATTAACAGCAGTATTAATAAGACATCAGAGCTTGGGAGGTATAGTGTTAAATGTATTAGAGAGGGAACTAGCTGGTGTGTCAACATCAAAACTACCAAAGCAAGTATGTGAAATGATACGCCTCGTTTACCAGACCAAATGGTCTGTGGTGCGTATACGTCAGCAATTAAATCGTAGCTATAAAGAAGTTTGTGCGTCGATGTTAGATCGTTTGAGATTTTTGTTCTATGAAGTGCGTCCTGTTGTGAGTTTAGAGCAGGAAGGTTTCAATAAATTATCAATTTTACATAAAGAAGCACGATTTAAGCTCTTCGTGAAAAAAATTATAGTCGATATGAGAGCAGCTAAGAAGCAATTGGCTTGTGGAAAACCTGAAGATATACTCAATGTAACAATACAAAGTCAAAATTTGGCACATAAAATAAATCAATCACAGGTACTTTAAATTTGCTATTCATATATAAATGTTATTTATTAAACGTAATTTTTATTTTATTACCCTAGGAATCGCTCTTGCAAAGCTCCTTGCATATAGAAAATAGTGAAAAATGTAATATAAATACGGAAAATGTTGCTGTTGCACTTGCGCAATCATTGAGAAATAATGCATCCAATGAGAATCTCTTCGATGCATGTTACAATTCCATTAACTCTGCGGAACGTAAATGTTCTAATGAAGATATTAAGTTGCAAACACATGACTTCGAGTTTGAAGATAAAAAACCAGAGCCAGAACCGCAGTTGAATAACACATTTTTGCGTAAAATAACCGAAAAGTGGTACTTCTCCGGAGAACTCAACATAGTTTTAATGAACGAGATCGTTGAATTTGTCATGCAGGAGGTTTGTGATGTTGAGACAGTTAGAAGAGCGATGTATTGTCAAGTTCAACGTTATCAATCACGTCGGCAGGGCTTGGATATGTTCTACGATTTACTACAGGTACGCGGATTGTTGGATGCTGTGCTATATAACATGCTAAGTGGCTATTTAGGTTTGCATTTGAAGAATAATAAAAAAACAATTGCGTATGTGCTTGAAGACTTAAACGCCATAACCGCATTTCAAAAAGCTAGTGTTGTCTTGTCCCAATCACGTATACTTGAATGTGTCATTAAAGAATTCCAACGCTTAGTTAATCAAGATCAAATACAAATGAAGGGCAAGCAACATGCAGGAAGCGGCAAAGATAATTCAAATTTAGGCACATATGTGTTCCTGAAAAAATTACCAAGAGCACGCTTTCTTTTAAGTATTTTTGGTATATTAGCGAAGGATATGGGCCCAAATGAAGTTAGTTTACTTGTGAACTCCGGCGTTTTGGGTACTGTTTTAGGGCTGCTTAGTCAAACTGGTGCTGATATACCGGCTGTAAAAAACACCTATGAGCTGTCCGTCGTTTATGAGGATGTGATATTAAAGCAGAAATCTAGTAGATCCAATTTAAGTGGACCAGAGTTAGCTAAACTTATGAAAATTGGTACACGCATAGTGCGTGGTACTGATTGGAAGTGGGGTGATCAAGATGGTAACCCACCAGGAGAGGGTCGAATTATAAGTGAAGTAGGAGAAGATGGGTATGCACCATTTTATGTTTAGTTTTGTTTAGTTTTGTTTAGTTTTGTTTTAAATTAATATTAAAAATTTATTTAAATAGGTGGGTCCGTGTAGAATGGTATACAGGGGCAACAAATTCCTACCGTATGGGTAAGGAGGGACAATACGATTTACGGCTTGCTGAGAGTGCTTTAAATATAATTTCACCTGATACTGAAACAGAGAAGGATGAATTGTGCTGCGATTCACAACTTAGTTGCGAATCTCATCCCACAAAACTTTTGAGATATGGTTGCACAAAATTCTTGCAAATATTATCTGTTGGTGTGGGTGTTCATAGCGAAAAAATGGATAAAGAAGCAGTCCGTGGTATATCATCTATGTTCCGTGCCATACTTGATCCTAAATCCTCCACTGTTAACATATGTGGCTTAGACAATTGGACAACATTAGGATTTTTAAGAGCTATTTCAGGTATTGAATCCATTTCCAAGTACAATTTTATCTTAAATAAAATTTTATTTTATAAAATTACAGGAGACTCAAAACTACTTTCGAAATACCTAACAACATCTATGTGGGTTAATTTCTATATATCACTTCTTGAGCATTCTCCGAAACGGGAACAAGATGTGTTTCGTAAAATTCATTGCTTACGTTTATTACAAACAAATTTGATACACTGGAGTGATGACAATGACATAGAACGTATGACACTTTTGGTACGAAAATTGTTCTACACACTAGGGAAAATTACACTCTGTTGTCCAAACGATATTTCATTGTTACAAAATACGAATGAAAGTAAGCCTCGCGTACTTTTAACCGCCGCACATTCAGGAACAGTATCTGAAGATATAATCACTTTACTACGAAAATTACATATCCTACCCTATTGGAATGCAGCAATTAATTCCTTTTTATCTCAAAAATTATGTGTTGCAGCAGATTTGTTTGGAGAAGATAGTTTGGATTTACAGCATTTAGAAAATGAATACATATTCGTAATGGGTGTTCTGAACACAATTGGTGGTTGTGATATACGACCTCGTGTTGGCCTACAAGTTTGCTACGAAGGCAGCATTGCAACCATTTGTGGATTTACAAGTAAAGGCAAATGCTTGCTAAGCACCGATAGCCAAGTATTAAATGGAGAATTTCGTAAAATCTCACTAAGTCAAGCATTCGACTGTGCTGATTATTCAGTATTTAGTTTATCCCGTCTACCAATGAATGAGATGCTATTAAATGCTTGGTCGGTTTTACTTTTTGGACCAGGTGAACGCAAAGACTCCATTCCATATTCCACCGATATTTGCTTACTACGCTCACAACAAATTCAGCTTTCAGTTTTGAACTCAAACTGTGTTTTGTACCGTCACCAAGCTTCATTGCGAAAAATCCTCAAACAAAGGTCTCCTGGGCTATGTTCATACTCGTCGGAAGAAAGCATATCTGAGGAAGAAGGTGAAGAAAGTCAAGTAAAAAGTGTGAACAGCGCAACGGCGCAAGCAGAAGTAACATCAATAGATACGGAAGAATCTAATATGCAAAGTGTTAATGAGAGTGAGTTGTTAGTTCAAACCATATTAATACGAGCAACACAACCATCGCCGGTAAAGTCAGTATATACTTACGCTGAACTCGCAACAGCTGCACTTAACTGTACCCAGATTTTAGCTTCACAGTTACACTCTGAAACGGAGACAAATATATGTCCAACCAGTTTTTCCGCGCAACAACAGTCTATGCAGGCTACAATGGTACATGGTGAGCCGATTTATAATGTTTATTTGCCAAATGATAAAACTGTTAAGCCGGATGTTACAAATACAACTAAGGAAACGAAGCCTGTAGCAATATCACAATTAGTCTCAAAAATTACTGAGATGGGCTTTTCAAAACAGGCAGTAGAAATGAGCGTAAAAAATATGACCTTACACACTGAAATACTACCAAATCCTGAACAAGTTATACAATGGATACTTGAACATCCTGATGTTTGCGCAAATGTCTTGGATTTGCCAGATTATAAAGAAAGTAACCTCAATACCAGTTTCAGTGACTCATCTTTGCCAGGTAAAGCGCGCATCTTACATGATTCTGAGGCCGACTCAGATAATGACAGCATAGATACGAATTCAGATACAGTTGGAGGCACCTCTTTGCAGGAGCAATCAGTTAAGTTTGAAACGCGTGCTGATATACAATCTGCTGATCAGTATGCACAATATGTTCGTAGTCTAGTCTGTCCGGGCATGACAGTGCGTTGCTGTCGAGATTTTGAAGAAATTAAGAAAGGTGATATTGGTACGGTTTTGAAGGTTGATACAGAGGGTCTACATGATTTGAATGTGCAGGTGGATTGGCAAATGCACGGCAATACATATTGGGTATGTTTCGTACATATTGAATTGCTAGAAATGCCACGGGTAAAGCAAACAAGCGACCGAAATCGAAATATTGCAATTGGAGCCCAAGTACGCTTTCGTCCGTCTTCAAGGTGTAGGTATAATAATGTCATTCGTGGTAGCGTTGGTACAGTAATAGCAGTGAATGGCAAAGATGTCATAGCAGATTTTCCACAATGTTCCACTGTAAGAGCTGCTATAAACGACATAGAAATAGTTAGTATAGCTGCCAAAACACGTAATTCTAGCTTGGCTACAGCAATTAACGATCTCATAGACGATTGGTCTCGTTGCATACGCACCTTGACAGTTTCATCCAATGAATCAAGTGCAAAAAATTTGTTAGAACGTGGTTCGGGATATTGGCAAAGTTCATCGAGTAGTCAAGGGAAACACTGGATACGATTAGAAATGCACGAAAATGTACTGATCCATTGTCTGTCACTTGTTGTAAATCCAGGTGACCATTCTCATATGCCTTCCTTGGTGGTGACACGAGTCGGCGAAAATGTAGGGAACTTAAAAGATTTTAGTTGGATATCAATAAAAAATAGCGATACAAATGTAGTTTTAATGAGCGATGTCCGTGATTACTACCCATACATTGAAATAGTTATAAAGCAATGCCGTAATAATGGTATACAATGCAAAGTTCATGGTATTAATTTGATTGGACGTAAAAAACAAACTGATTTGGACTTAATGTTGATGAGCGCTTCATTCCTAGCCTGCGAATATGACAATATTAATGATTCAAATCAGAATTTAAATTCCACTAATTATACTGAATCGAAGATGCCTTTAGGTGAGCCGCCCTCTACAATAATGGTATGGGGATTGAATGACAAAGAACAACTTGGCGGACTGAAAGGTTCAAAAGTGAAGGTACCTACATTTTCTCAAACAATTAGTCGAGTGCGTCCCATACACATAGCTGGAGGTTCTAAGTCGCTCTTTATTGTGACACATGATGGAAAAGTATTCGCTTGCGGTGAGGGTACAAATGGACGTTTGGTAAGTTAAAAACAGTATAATTAGTTATGTATGTTTTAATACAATGTGTACAACTTTTTATATTTCTTTTAGGGATTGGGAAAGTGTGTTAACGTTTCCATACCAAGACAAGTCCCAGTATTGCATAGGTATGTAGTAAAAAAGGTAGCCGTACATTCAGGAGGAAAACATGCATTAGCCCTGACTTTAGATGGGAAAGTGTTCTCATGGGGTGAAGGCGAAGATGGGAAATTAGGACATGGTAATCGTTTAACATTGGACAAACCTAAAATGATTGAATCTTTACGTCCCAAAAAAATTCGTGATATTGCTTGCGGATCCTCTCACAGCGCAGCAATAACATCGGCAGGAGAGCTGTACACTTGGGGTTTAGGTGAATATGGTCGTCTTGGTCATGGAGACAGCGTAACACAATTAAGACCGAAATTAGTATTGGCATTACTTGGTAAACGTGTGATTCAAGTTGCTTGTGGAAGTCGGGATGCTCAAACCTTAGCATTAACAGAAGATGGTGCAGTTTACTCGTGGGGTGATGGTGATTTTGGCAAACTTGGACGTGGCGGTTCAGAGGGTTCTGTGGTACCACATGAAGTTGACCGTCTAACTGGTATTGGAGTAATACAAATTGAATGTGGCGCACAGTTTAGCTTGGCTTTGACCCGTACTGGTGAGGTTTGGACTTGGGGTAAAGGTGATTATTATCGATTAGGTCATGGAAGTGATCAACATATACGAAAACCACAACCAATTCAAGGCTTACGTGGTCGTAAAGTTATACATGTGGCTGTTGGCGCTTTGCATTGCCTTGCGGTAACAGATACCGGCCAAGTATATGCTTGGGGTGATAACGATCATGGACAACAAGGATCAGGTAACACAATCGTTAATAAAAAACCTGCTCTAGTGATTGGGTTGGATGCTGTATTTGTGAATCGTGTTGCTTGTGGCAGTTCGCACTCAATTGCTTGGGGTTTACCACAACTACCTTCAGAGGATGAGAAGAGAGGTCCAGTACCATTTAATACTACCAAAGATCCCTTAGGAGGGAATAGTTTAGGAATTTATGATTCCGACTCAGACAGTATATCCTGCTATTCTTACAAAGAATTGAATAAAACAAGTCTTAGTGAAACATTGTTATCATTAGAAACAAATGGAGCTCGTCAGACGGCGTTAAACTATGTACTTAATGCTATGAGCATTTTGCAAGCAAGGCAGCTTATGATTGCAGCACTTACAAGTCATAGCAAAATAAATTTAAATGAGAAATCCCCACTCGAAATGGAGGCACAGGAAACAAAAAATTTTTTGTTTAATGAAACAACGAACACAGTTGCGCCAAATACGAATGAAGTAATCGAACAAGGTGGAGGTGAAGCTCCAGCAGATGTTACTGATCCAGCAGTTCACGAACCATCTCCAGAAGTTGATATAATAGCAGCACCTGCTGGACCTTTAAGTGCGTTTCAAAGCTTGACAGGCTCACTTTCCTTGTCGGCATCGATGTCAAGCAATGCTCCACTTAAACACTCAAAAATGTCTCATAGTGCCATGTCAGTTATAGCAGCTACCGTGACTAATCAAGAAGAAATAATTGAAGAAGCCGCGCTTACGGGATTAGATGATTTTACTTCATTACTTGGTGAAGCTGAAGCAAAGGGTCTTATTGAGTTATTAAAATTAAGTGTAGCTGGTCGTACAGGGTCCGCGAGTACTTCGCAAACAATCGCGGAAACATTAATTGCCCTAGGAACTAATTCGCCATCTATAGGCGCAATGTTACTTGAAACCTGCATCACAGAACTTGAAGACCAATGTACATCACGGCACTGTTTTGGTAACATACCAAAACCCATTATGCAAGAAAGTAGTCATCCATATTCTGACAATGTATCTATTTCCGGACAAGTAAAAATTCCAGGCGCTGAAGCTTTACGTTTAGAGTTCGATAGCCAATGTTCTTCAGAAAAGCGAAATGATCCCTTAGTAATTATGGATGGTACTGGTCGTGTTATTGCTATGCGTTCAGGCCGTGAAATTACACAATGGGCAGCAGAAATTCGAATACCTGGTGATGAAATGCGTTGGAAGTTTTCATCTGACAGTTCGGTGAATGGTTGGGGTTTCCGTTTTTGGGTACATGCTATTATGCCGCCATCTGCTTTAAGTGAACGTGGTTCAGATCGTGCAGTCCTCTCACAACCGTCTATGCCATTAGTGATGGCTTTGTTAAATGAACGTTTAGGACCGCATAATGTAAGTGTACTATTGCGTTTAGCAGCTGCATTGGCAGCATGTGCTCAATTAAGCTCCCTTACAACCAGTCAACGAATATGGTCTCTAAAAAAGTTACATGCAGTGTTACTTTCAAAATATGCACCGAAACCTTTGGATGCAAATCTAAATCCGATATTAATGCCTCTGATACCAGAGCTATTGCGACAATATGAATATGAAGAACCACAGGTGCGTGGTGGTATACATTTAATGCACTCCGACTATTTTAAAACTTTGGCAGCACTTGCTTGTGACATGCTGTTAGATTCTGTCCTACCTTCAACAGATGTACATAAATGGGCGTGGTTTAAACGTTATTGTATAGCTGTACGCGTGGCACAATCTCTTATAAAACGAACGCCTCTACCGAAACTATTTTGTTTGGAAGTACGAAAGAAAATTACTGAAATGTTACCTTCGCATCAGAGTCCTTCGCCTGTGCCTTGTTGCTCGATGTTGACCTCAACAAACTCTCTAGCTTCATCAACTACTAGTACCACAACGACAACAAGTAACCCTACGCCACCACCGCATTCAATATGTAATCAACAGAGCGGTACGACTACTGTAAATACAACAACTACAAACACGAATAATCTTGTACAATACATCGATAGTGTTATGTCTATGTCAATACATGAAAGTCCAAGTGGCGTTTCACTGTTTCCGAACAGCAACATGGAAAATATAGATTTAATTCATGAAGATCATACACTTTTCAAGGCGGATCACGATAATCAATTATTGCAGTGGCTTAATCGACGTCCTGATGATTGGGCACTTTCATGGGGAGGTGCTAGTACCATTTATGGTTGGGGCCATAATCACCGAGGACAGTTAGGTGGTCTTGAAGGCAGTCGTATAAAAATTCCTACCCCCTGTGAAGCTCTTAGTTTACTACGTCCTATACAATTAGCTGGTGGTGAACAAACTTTATTTGCTGTTACACCTGATGGCAAACTATTTGCTACAGGCTACGGTTCCGGCGGCAGGTTAGGAGTTGGTGGTACAGACTCTTGGGCTATACCTACATTAATCGGTTCTCTGCAACATGTTTTTGTTAAAAAAGTTGCCGTTAATTCTGGTGGAAAACATTGTCTTGCACTAACTACGGATGGTGAAGTATACTCATGGGGTGAAGGTGAAGATGGTAAACTTGGACATGGCAGCCGAATGAGTTATGATCGCCCTAAATTGATCGATGAGTTATCAGGTTGTGGAATTATAGATATAGCATGTGGTAGCGCACATTCAGCAGCGATAACATCTGTAGGTCATGTAATGACTTGGGGTAAAGGGCGTTACGGACGCTTAGGTCATGGTGACTCGGAGGATCAATTAAGGCCAAAAATAGTAGAAGCGCTGGTAGGTTACAGAGCTGTTGATATTGCTTGTGGGTCTGGAGATGCACAAACCCTTTGCATTACTGATGATGATAATGTATGGAGTTGGGGTGATGGAGACTATGGAAAATTAGGACGTGGTGGGTCGGATGGTTGCAAAGTGCCGAGTAAAATTGAAAGTCTAGCTGGATTAGGTGTAATTAAAGTAGAATGTGGTTCACAATTTTCTGTCGCTTTAACAAAATCTGGAGCTGTTTATACTTGGGGCAAGGGTGACTTTCATCGTTTGGGTCATGGTACTGTTGATCATGTACGGCGGCCTAAAAAAATTTCAGCACTGCAGGGTAGAAAAATTGTTTCGATTGCAACAGGTTCTTTACACTGTGTGGCTTGTAGCGATACTGGAGAAGTATATACGTGGGGAGATAATGATGAAGGACAATTAGGTGATGGTACCGTTAGTGCTATACAACGCCCACGTTTGGTATCAGCGCTTCAAGGAAAACATATTGTAAAAGTAACTTGTGGCTCTGCGCATACATTGGCACTATCTACTTCACAATTATCGGATCGCATACGCCCACCACCTAATCCACCAGTTGAATATGATCTTGTCCGCGATCTACCGGCTGAAGCTTTACATTCCCGTCTTGTATTATTGCATCATTTCTCCGAATTGCTTTGTCCATGCTTGGCAATGTTACCTATATCAGGTTAGTGGCTAATTTTTTTTTTTTATATTATACTTTTTATATTAAATTTCTTCTAATAGGCGAATTGAGCTTAGGTGCTCTAAAAGATGTCCTTGTCTATACAATTAAAGAAGCAGCTTTTCGTAAGGTGATACAAACAACAATGGTACGGGACAAACAGCATGGTCCAGTTATTGAACTAAATCGGATACAAGTTAAGCGTTCACGGTCTAAATCTAGTAATGGTTTAGCTGGTGTAGATGGAATGAAAAGCGTTTTTGGACAAATGGTGCTTAAACTGCCACTTTTTACACAAGAAGCGTTATCATTACCACATCGAGTATGGAAAGTTAAATTCGTTGGTGAAAGTGTAGATGATTGTGGTGGTGGATATAGCGAATCAATAGCTGAAATGTGTGATGAATTACAAAATGGTAGTGTGCCATTACTTATTACTACACCTAATGGACGAGGAGAGGCTGGTGCAAATCGTGATTGCTTTTTATTGGATCCTACATTAACATCGGTATTACAAATGAATATGTTCCGGTTTTTGGGAGTACTAATGGGAATAGCTGTGCGTACAGGTTCTCCTTTGAGTCTAAAGTAAGTAAAATGAGTTAAAGTTAAATATATTATATTAATATATTATATAAACATATTATATAAATACAATGTATAAATATATAAACATATTATGTAAATGTATTATATAAATATATTAAATAAATGTATTATATCAATATATAATATATATTATATTTATTATGCAGTCTTGCTGAACCTGTTTGGCGTCAGTTAGCCGGTGAACAATTACGTCCTTCTGATCTTACTGAAGTTGATCGTGACTATATTGCGGGGCTACTTTGTATACGTAATATGGATGAAGATCCTAAAGTGTTAAACGCTTTGGAGTTACCTTTTGCAACTACATCTGCTAAAGGACATGATGTACATTTGTCAACACGTTATACGCGTATAACACCACAAAATCGTCATGAATATGTGCGTTTAGCGCTCAATTTCCGTTTGCATGAATTTGATGAGCACGTCAAAGCTGTTCGAGACGGCATGTCTAAGGTGATTCCAGTACCTTTGCTCTCCTTGTTTTCAGCGAGCGAACTGCAAGCAATGGTTTGCGGTTCACCGGATATACCACTTGGTTTACTAAAATCTGTAGCAACTTATAAAGGATTCGAGCCAGGTTCCTTGATTGTTGTATGGTTTTGGGAAGTTATGGAAGAGTTCACCAATCAGGTATGTTTTGCAACATTTAATAATTATTTTTGTTTTCGATTGTAATTATTTTAATACAAAGGAACGTTCGTTGTTTCTACGCTTTGTTTGGGGCCGTACACGTTTACCACGTACCATTGCTGATTTTCGTGGACGTGACTTTGTTCTACAAGTCTTAGATAAAAACCCTCCAGATCATTTCCTACCAGAAAGTTACACCTGTTTCTTTTTATTAAAAATGCCTAGATATTCATGCAAGGTAAGTTAAAGTTCATCTTCGTGATATGGTTTTTGATATTAATATAATATAATATTTTTTTTTAAACTTTTTTAGGCAGTTTTAATGGAAAAATTAAAATATGCTATACATTTCTGCAAGAGTATAGATACCGATGAGTATGCGCGCGTTGCTATGGGCGATCCCACCGAAGCAACTGGTAGCGAAGATAATAGTGATTTAGAATCCGTTGCAAGTAATTAGGAGTACACAAAAAAAGCACTAATAAGCAAATCGAATACTCAATAAGAATCAAAACAATTTCCCCTCAACACTACTAATGTAATTTGATTGTGTGTAGTTGTTATTCATGCACAATACTTTCAATTAGCAAAATGTGGTAATTATAATATAATATATTAATATATTTAAATTTATATAATAATTTAATTTTTGTTTTTTTTTTGTCAGCACAACTTACGATATATGATGTCAAAGAAAAACCACGAAACCACGAATTGAAAATGAAAAACACTCAAGGTTTGCTTGAACAAGTTTTAGTTTAACAAATGTATATTTTAGTATAATGATCGCTTGTTTATTTAAGTAATAGTTTTTATATTTTTTTAAAAAAAAGCTTTTGATTACAATTTGGAATTCCATCAAAATTTTAAGTTATCTAAAAGATGTTCCTGCTGCTCTGTGTAATATCTTATTTAAAAAAAAAAAAACAAAAAAATATATATATTTGCTATGAATTTATACAATATTTTCAAAATATGTGAATATTGTAAATATTAAGTAAAAGAATTAGTTATTATTTTTTATAAAAATATATTTTTTGGAAATTTAAAAAAAAATATATAGTAAACGATTCAAAAAATAATCCTATGTAATTTTTTTTTTAATTTTAACTAACACTTGTTAAATGTTATATAGCGATAAATAGAAAATGATATTTGGTGGTATCTACAAAAGCTTTAAATTTAATATTTTAAATTTCTTAACTTAGTATAAAGAAATTTAAAATAATTTATAAATATTTTTAAATTAATTTTTTGTATCATTTATTTAAATATTTATATAAGTTGTAAGTTAAAATTTATTTCACATTATTGTTATTAGTAAATAATAGACAATAAGTAATGTAAAAGATATTTTAACTATTTAAAGTTCAATTTATTTTTTTTTGTATTACAACAAAAATTTGTTTAGTGTATTTAGTTTAATTCTTAAATGTATATTTAAATGTATATTTAATTTATGTATGTCGACAGCGTCTTATAACTAACAGCTACCTACCAGTTCTTTTTGATTTTGATTTAAAATAATATTAATTTAAAATATATATTTATATTTGAAATAGAAATAAACAGGATTCTCTCTTCTAGCGGATTGGAGCACTGCAAGACTGTTGAATTCTTATAGTTAATAAATAAGTATTTTTATAAGAGCAAAAATAAAAACAAAAAATAAGCATATAATTAAAATTTTAAACTCACGTAAATTAGTTTATATCGAAATTATTTAGCCATTTACAAAATATACTAATTTTCGTGAGTTTGAATTATTTTATGCTTCTAGTTTTTGTTTTTACTCTAGTTTAAATAATTAATTTTCTTAAATATATTCTTTTATATATTAAGGGTTTATTTTACGTGAAAGTTTTCAAAATAATTGATCATTTAAAAAGTAATGAATTTCGTCTGGTGTGCTAAATACTTATGACCAATTTGAAAGTTCATATTGTCTAGTACTGCTGCCTATATATATTTTATTTATAATTTTATAAATTTATAGAAATATATATATAACATCCACATTAGGTTGGATTTCTTTTACCATTAAACCATTACACAAAATAAATTCATAGTAACAGTATTAGGTCTTTTTTAATAAATACATTTTAATTAGTAAAATATGAAACTTAGATTTTTTAATTATTTATATATATATAAAATTTAAACATTTTATTTTATTTTACTTTCTAGTATTGATAATTATTAATAGTTGAGCAGCTACTTTTTAATATTGCCAATTAATAATTTTTGACATTAAAGTTGTCTTCTGTAATATTATTTTTAAAAATATTATAATATTTTCTTTTGTTTCCGTTTAAAAGTTCAATCGCAAATTAAAATTATAATTATTATAGATAATGACACACAAAATCCATATATAAATATATTATGAATTTTTTAGTAATTGATGTTATTGAATTTATTTTGTTAGTATAAAATTAAAATATTTTTTACTTATCGAAAAATTTTATTTTTAATTTATAAGTATAAATTAAAATTATAATAATAAATGAATTTGAAAATATTTCTTCTTAACAATTATATAAAAATAATTTCAATATTTTATTATTGTTGGAAATGTATAATTTAATTGCTAATTTGGTAATTATTTAATTTTGTTATGTATTTATTTATATAAATTTAATAATTTTATAATTATAAGAAAAATCAATTGCGTAATTGTTATAGTATTTTATAATTGCAAATGTGTATACCACCAAAAATAATTATAGTTTTGTTTTTATTAAAAAAAGAGCAGAAACATCCATTTCCTATATTCTATATTAGATTATCCCATTTTCGATTTCGAAACTTAGTTTATATAAAAATTTAGATACTCAAATGTATTTTGTAATTTATTTATTATTTAGTAAATATGGCTTTTAGCTGTTTATTTAAATTTGTAAAAATTTTTATTAAAAAGTCAATAAAATGAAATATATGATATAATTCGAATACAATAATATTTTGTTTTTTTTTTTTTTTGTTGTTAAATAAATGTTTCATATATTTTACGATATATGTATTAGCAAAAAGTTTTAACTAATTATGTTTGTACTTTTCTCATTTTAAGTAAATCATGTCTTAGTTACTATATATAACATATTTAAAAAAAATACTATTAACAAATAATTTTTAAGAGTTTATAGCTTTAAAATTGAATTTTTTTAAAAATAAATTAATTCTATTCGAACAAATATTTCCATTATTTCATTATTTTTTACTTTATTACAAATTATTATTTTTTATTATTATAAAGAAAATTCCGAATCATTATTTGAGATTAAATAAAATCAATTGATGTATAAAATAGTTCACACGCCAAAAAAAAAGAAGAATTATCTAATAAATACAAATTTTATATTAAAGAATATTTTCCATTTCAATATTCATTTATACAGTAATTTTAAAAAATTTAAGATTGAAGTCAGATTAATTCTGTTATGAATATATATATACAAATGTAATCTCATAAAATGAAATGTAGCAGCATAAATATTTAAACTTCATATTGTAGATATATTTAATTTTAATAAGATAAATATCGAGTAAAGTAAGGAAAAATCTATTAAAGTAGTTCAGTAGAACGTAATTCGAAAGGAATTTGAACATTAAAATTAAATAAACATTTTTTTGAATAACATTTTTTAATATTTTTTATTTTAATAATATTTATTATTTCAAATATTAACAATAATTTATAATATAGTTTTTACATAAAAAATATATATAAAAACTTATTAATATTTTTTTATGCTTTTGTAAGCTATTTTTTAGATTTTATTTATATTTCTTAAATATTATTTTTTTTTAAGTTTTATTTTAGTTGATGGAATGTATCATTATTAAATGATTATTAAATGATATATAGTTATAATAAAATTTTGATTGTATACTACTTTTTATTAAATTATTTTATTGTCTTTTACTATTTTATTTTAATTTAATTTAATTATAATTGGATTTATTTATTTTTTCTATATTTCCTTATATTCATTTTTGTTAAAGCTTTTACATCAGAATTTTTTATTATTTTTTCTTTAATTTTTATATTTTAATTTTTATATATCATTTAAAAAGTTTTCTTTTTTTAATTATGTTAATGCACATATATTTTTTCTTAAATTTGTATTTTAATATTTTCATAAAATATTTATTAAAAAATAAATAATAAAAATAAAAATATTTAAATTTCTTTTTCTATTGTATTATTATTGTTGTTATTTGAATTTTATATTTTTATTTTGAAAAACAATATATAATATACATATATATATAATATATTTATATACTGAAATATATTTTTTTTTTTTATTTTTATATTTTTATTATATTATTTTTTTTTAATTTCAGTTTTCATGTAACCATTTTAAATTGTTAATATTTTTTATGTCATTTAATATATTTTATTTACGTATTATTTTACAATTAATTTCTTAATATGCATTTATTTATTATTTAATTTGTTTTATATTCTATAATATATAACACTTAAATGATACATATATAACAAAACAAATTTTTAAAATTTATTTTTATATTTTTTAAGCAAATATATCTTTTTAATTGTTTGATATAAAAATAAATTTCTGATTTAAAAAAATTTTTTTTAGTTCATATGCATAATTTTTAAAAAATAATAACTTATTATTGATAAAGAATAATTTTATTGGAATTGAATATGTTAATAGTGTAGAAAATAATAAACATTTTAAATAATTACAAATAAATTTTAATTTATTTATAAATCGCATATGAATCGCATTAACTTACAAATATAATATAAGTATGAAATAAAAAATTATATCATATTTTACAGAGTTTAGTTCTTTACATATTATAAAATGTTTATATATTGTTTTAATTTTTATCAATAAATATAGTAATTATACAAACTATTATTATACAAAAATATATTTTTTCTCTAAATTTAAATTTTATTAAATTATTATTTAAATATGTTATATTTGTTTATTTATTTTATTTAAATATATCTGCATTATATGTTTTTTATTTTCTATATTTTTAATATTATTTATGTTATATTTTGTTTTAATATTGTTTAATTAATTGTTATTTACATTTACTTTATTTTCAATTGAACTCTTCATTCTTCATTTGTATATTTCTTTGAACATTATTAAATTAATTATTATTTATTATTTTTAAATATTCAAATAGTTTTATCTTGTAAATTAAATTTTGTTTTTTTTTTATTTTCCTAAATATTTTTGTATTTTCTTTTAATTTCTTATTTTTGTTTTTATTTCTTAATTTCTTTTAATTTCATTAAATTAAATTAACTAACAAATTATTTGATTATGTCTTAAATGGAATTTTTTTATTTATTTTTTTTTATAAACAAGTTTTTTTTTTGCAAAAAAGTAAAATGATTAATTAATTACATTAGAATAATAATATATATATTTTTCTAATTGTAATAATATATTAAAACTATTATTTAAATTAGTAACTTGAAATAAAGATTTACTCAATTAAATTAAAATTTGTAGCTTAGCAAACATTATTATAGCCTTACACGATTATGTAGCCTTTGAAACGATTCAATTTATATATATATATATAACATAAATATATATAAAATAATAATTTTTAATGTTATAAAATATTTTGATTAATATTTTAATCCGTACATAGTTGCATATATATTTACGTATTGTCTTTATAATTTAACCAAAAATTATATTTTAAGATATGTTAATTGAAAAATAAATATTAAAAAAAATCAATAAAAATCTATTATTTAAATAATTCAAATTTTTAATTGTCTATAGTAAAATGATGTAGTAAAATTATAAGTTTTAAAATTTTATATCGAGTAGTTTTTAATTTTATTTATTTTTTTTTTTTATTAAAAAGTTATTTAAAAATACTTTTACAACAAAATAATCAAGAAGTTGAAGTAATAATAGTTTTGAAATGATCGTAAATATATAACATAAAGGAATGTAAATTTTTAATTTTGTTTGATATATATGGGTATATATTTATGTAAAATTATAAATATATACATTTATATTTTATATGTTTTTAGTTTAAATATAAATTATTTTTATATCGATACAGGTAGCTACTTTTCAAAATCTCATAAATTCAGTAGATTATTCCTTCGAAAAAACCAAAGAAATCGCATGGGAAGAATAAAAACTAAGATATTGGGTGACAAAAGAAAACAGTATACGATAAAACCATATAATTACCGAACCCTATGTTATATCTTTTTCAAATTACTTCAAAAAATTCAAACTAAATATATATACTCAAGAGAAAAAGGATTTAAAAAAAAATTGTTTTAAAGAATAGGGTTTAAAAAAATTTTTTTTGAAAAAATATGATTTATAAAAAATGACTATTTCTAAGGAAATTTTGGCTTGAACGTCTATATTTCCGAAGCTATTCATAGTTTAAAAAAAAAAATTTTTTAAAAAATATGATTTATAAAAAATAACTATTTATAAGGAAATTTTGTCTTGAACATCTATATTTCCGAAGCTATTCAAAGTAGTAAATTACACAACGTTTTTAAAATATTGGAGTTCAGGTTTAAAAAAAAAAAATTGGTATATATCCAATATATTATTATGGTATATATCCGTTAATTTAAACGAACCTTTAGTTGTGCTTGGAATAAGGACTGTCATATATATAGTATATATAGTACATATCAGTATAGTACGTATATAGTAAATAAGTTAAAAAAGTTAATAGTAGAAAAAGTTAGTAGTAGAAAAAGTTAGTAGTAGAAAAAGTTAGTAGTAGAAAAAGTTAGTGGTAGAAAAAATAGATCTTATTTATAAAAACAATTTCAGTTGTCCTTTAAAGTAGTGTTCTTAGTAATGATCATAATTTGATCTAATTTTAACTTAAACTTTATTTAATAAATATTTAATAAGTATAGATAATGCAACAAATAATAGATAACAACTTGTTGATTTTTTTTTTCAGATTAACTGCTGCCTGTATATTATATAGTTATACTATATATCTCTTATATGCCGCTTGTCGTATATCACTATGAAATGTGTATATGTTAGTGTCTGTTCGATAGTCCTCAAATATATAATATGTATACAACTTTTATAATTTTATTTATTAACTCTATTGTGGGTAAGACTGAGTAAACAATCATAACATAAAAGGATTTATTTAAAAGTCTATTAAAATAAATGGAGGCTGTAAAACCATATTAAAATAACAAAGACTTTTTGTATTTTTTATTATTTTTAAGATAATTTAATAGTTGATATTTTGTTTGATATGAATTTGTACGATGACTAACAACTAGTTGTACTGTTTGAAATTGTTGAACTCAGATATCATTTGATATCTCAGTAACAATGACTTAATAACTGGGATATAAGCTAGAGAGATTATATTATTATGGCAGTCAGTCTTGTTGATCAACTCATTTAGACTCAACGATCTATTGTGATGCTGGGATATTTGCGGTTTGCTAGGTTTGGTTTGGTTAAATTTAAGTGGTGACACAAGAGAGAGAGAGCGCGCACAACTACCCGCCATGATCTTTTTGATAAAACGTTGTTCCTACGACACACCGAGACTGGAACGTTACAAACTGTGATATCTATAAGGACCTACAGATACCAACTATTGAAGAAGTTATTTTGGACATAAGCAGAAAACATCAGGAACGAATATTAACTCACTCAAATAACGATATATATAGAGTCCGCCAGTAAGAGCTAATGACGTAAAAGGGCCTCAAAAGATTATAACCACATAACCGACCTAATTCAATACCAACGAGGCCCTTAAATAACAAAACGCAGCACAGAAAACCGAAATACTTAGATGTTGATCATAATTATTCTACACATCCCAACAATCAAATGTAAAAAAGTACTAACTGTTTAATCGGAGACTGGCTGGAAGCCACTGGTTTGGTAGTCGAAGACGTGATTGTTAGGAGATAAGTTAAGAGTCCTTAGTGTAAATGTCAGCAGTGTTAGTAGAGACAACTTTATCTGAGGTGTAGTTGTTGGTAATGCCAGTCCCAAAATCCCAGTTCGTGATATGGGAAGTTTAATCCTAAAAACTAGTCTATGTGATGCATACAAAACCTACGTATATTAACTTTTTCATCGTATTGAACATCGTATAGTCTGCGACAAGACTATTAGTAACATGTATTCTCATATACAAAAATGTTTCTTCTAAATTGAATTCTCTATTTATTTGAGTTGAGTCTCGTAAAAAAATTAACTTCCATGAAGCAAAATGACAGCCTAAATTGTTGTAATTATCTTATTAGCAATAGTGGAGTAGAATACAGCTGTCATAAAATATCTTTTATGTTGCAATAGACACTACTCGAATAGAAGTCACTCGATTTGAAGATAACAATGCCTTTTCTGTTCAAAAGAACCTAATTATATATAGGAACAAGAGCTTTTGCTTCAGTAACCACGTTCTGGATAAGCAAAGGCAACATTTGTTCATATTAGACAGACTCATCTAATCTAGATGGTAAGACTAATATCCAGTAACAAAATTAAAAAAAAAAACAATTTGTAATATGTTTAGTCCATAAGGTTTTTTAATTTGATAGTGTTTCTTGTTAATCTGTTAAGTGTGCGTGTATTTTCTAATAGTAAAGTTTATTTATAAATGCTTCTGGAGAAAAAAAATATTATTGCGGTTGCTTAAATATTCAAAGCGTTTAGTGCTGACATTTTATGGGGCACCCATTGCTGCTCCAGCATTTCTAAGTAAATGTTCCCCTTCAATGTTTCTTTGATCTTTCTTGTGTTTAGAAGTTTTAGTGCCATTTTCCATTTCGAACTCTCTCTGTTTCTTCTGGCAAAAGTCAAGACCTTCAGGGTCCTCAACATCAGTTTGTTCTTTATTTTTACAAGGCGATTTTTGATCTCGGTGTTTATTTGATACTGGTTCAGTATTATATGAATTGCATCCACTTTTTTTACGAGAATCGTGTGACACATGTGAGCAACTGGATCGTTCACTAACTCTTCTCTCATTATTGTGTGATCTTTGACATCTATTTGATTGTGAATGTGATCCTTGTGAATAATTTGATCCACAGTTCTGTGACCTTTTCTCGTGTGAACAAGTGGACCCACAACTTGGTGATCGTCTTTCATTTGATGAGCATGATGAACAAGTATTCGATTGTCTTCCACAAGATGAACTCTCATGGGGACAATGTGATCTCGAATTTTGTGAGTTTCCACCACAGGAGTTGCAGTTGTTATTATGTGAAAAATGATTACATGAGGGTTTTTCATTATGATAACTATAACCACAATTAGGACAGAAATTTTCGTGTCTGCAACTTGAATGTGATCTTTCGCCAGATCCTCCATAACGATCTCCAGGTGGTGGTTCTGAATAACGTCCATCATACCTGTATCTTTCGCGACTGTAATCACGTGAATCCCTTCTAGGTTCGTAGTCATCATACTCTCTACTACGTCTGACAGGACGTCGAGGTTCATCTCTTTCATCTCTTTCATATGTTGGTTCATGGGAACCGCTGGAGCCTGATTCTGAATGTCCATGTGGTTTTGCAAAGACCGCTGATTTTTGTTTGTGCGGATCATGAGGTATTATCGGTTTTTCGGTAGTAGGAGGAGGGGGTTGAGGAGCATAAAGGCTTGCTGCTCTTTCTGCTGTACAACAAGGACAATCGTTAGATGGGCAGGTCCTAAACATTCTATAGCATAGATATGTTAATGTAACAGCGGTGACTACAGCAGTGCCAGCAATCTTTAAAACAATTATTACTTAAAATCTATTTTTAATGGAATTAGATACGTACAGTTGCTTTGCCTGCTTGTGTATTGGGATTAAAATATTTTTTTAAGTCCGCCATTTTTGCTCCTCATAGTCCTACTACAATTTTTAGAACAAAAACTATTAATTTAGACCCTGGACACCAAACATATTTTACAAATAAAAATAAATAAAAATCTAAAACATTTTTGTACACAAAAAATTTATTTAATATATCGTATGAAAGAATTTACAAAGTTTACATGTTTAAAAGAATATAGAACAACTGCTTTCTCAGAAATTTGATTATGGATCTTTTTATAGGAATATGACAAGATTTTCATTTTTTTTTTTTTTTTTTTAACATTACAAAACAATATAATATAAATATAAATATATATGTTCATGTGACTCTACAATAATGTCAAAATGGAATTGTGGATATTAATGGAATTAGGGATAGGGGTCTTACAATTTACCACAATAGATTGCAGAGCTAAAATTTGAAACAACATGAAACAATAATATATTTGTCTCGAGGCAATATTTATAATTTATAATAACTGTTATGTTTAAACTTTAATATAACATAAAATAAAGATTTGTAGGTTTCTTTAAATGTATATTCTAACTTTACTCCTAATTCGTTAGAACTAAACTGTCTTAAAGTCTAGATAGTGAATTATTGTTTATAGTGCTATATACACGTTTTCTTAGTTTGCAAAATCTATCGAGAAATCCTGACAAAATTCTTACTTAATATTTGTTAACTATTTTAAACTGCGTATTATTGTAATTCTGTTTGATACTACATCTATTTCAACAAGACTAAAAAATGGATTTGAAGTACATTTTGGTACCAATAGTATATATACGTTTTACTTACTTCTTAATATTTAATTCATTTAAGGTCCTGAAATTATTTCTGAAGTCATTTTAAAACTAATACAATAATTATAGATCTTAATAGTATATTTATAGTATATTTGCTAATAAAGTGAAATTTAACAAATACATTTCGTTAGCCACATAAAGAGCTTCCCTGCTTTTTAATTTACTTAAAAATAAAGTAAGGAAAATTAGGCCAAAACTGTTGAATGCAACCCTTAAAAATAAATTTTCGAAAAGGTAAATTACCAAAATTTGAAATATTTGTCATATGTTTTATATGTAAAATGTAAACAAACAACAGCTGAGCTGTAAACAAAGGCACTGACAAAGTAAGTAACAATTTAATAAAATCTTTATTTTTATTAATTGAATATGTGTTGGTTATATAAAATACATACAAAAAATTTATCAATTATAATTAATTTTTTGTGTGTTTATTTAAACAAACAGAAGCTTTCTTAGTACTTTCAAAGAAGTTTCTGACACATAAAAGCGCTTTCACATACAATAAGTAACTAATGAAAATGGAAACGATAAAATCTTAAAGTTACTTAAAAAACTTACTAAGTAAGTAGTGGAAATATGGTTATAAAGTTAGTGTTCACACTTTCTTGCTAATTATAAAGAAAGTGTAACTATGTTTCTTTCAGTAAAAGTTCCCCTAAGTTTAAAATATTACTATTTTTTTAACACAAATTCTTGAATTAGCCCGAACAATATTTAAATATTTATTAGTAGAATAGTAACCAATTAGTTAATTTACTATTAGCCCCATTTCAGGCTCTGCTGGAGAGTTGTTCGTGTACTATTTTAAAATATTCAGACGTCTAATTTTTGTTTTTCATTTGGTATCTAAAGTGTTCATAATATCATTTAGATATAATGATCTTATGATTTGATTTTTCGGCTGAATACTCGTGAAGGGTTTGTTACTGTGATAATTGCATTATTCAGGTTTCGATTGCATATTTGCAGCCCATATACTAATTAATCTGTTCTGTATTTGAAATTATTATTAAAATGGCTCGGTCATTTCGTGCAAATGGAAGAAACTGTTAAAGGTGTTCACAGATGTTCCGAGATATTTCCAGGGTAAATCCCGCAAGTAGAAAACGCGGTAGAGGACGTCCACATCTTCGGTGGAAGGACCAGTTGATCAACGATTTACGGGCAGTCGGCACTACTAACTGACGACAGCAAGCCATGATCGGTTAGCTGGTGGAGGCTATTTTATGTGACCAAGGAATACTCACGTCTATAATGGCCAATTAAGTAAGTAGTGAGTATTATAATGTCAGTTTTTATTAAGGATTCATAGAATCTTTTTGTGACACTATATGAGAACAAAACAAGAAACAATATTTTCTTTACTGCTTCTAATCCATCTGTTACTAGTCACGAATGTTCCTTTAAAATTTCATATATTATATATGATATGATTACGATGAGGTCAATTAAAAGTGTTAAATTCATTTTGAATAAATTTACATCGTTATTATATTTGCTTTTAAATCATGTCCAAACTTTATTATTTTGATATGTAGACATATATAATTTTCTGGTATACATGAAATCGTTTGGAATATAGGCAAATGTAGCTTATGTGTATCTTGTTAAATGTATGTAATGAGTAATTGTAAATGTAATGTAACAAGTCCTTTAGTCCTTTATAATTTGTGTTTAGGTCATTTTTAGTTTTCAGCTGCGCAAAATGAAAACTTGACTCAAGTATCAAATAAGCCATCCTAGTTGATTTTGAATTATCTGGCTCTTGTTTATATAATCCTCTCTGTTCATTCCAAGAGTACTGGCACAAAATGAAATTGAAATGCTAGAGATATTTCACTTGAGGATCAAATAAGATTTTCTAATTGATACTGAATTAATGAATTCTTCGTTATTGTATGAACTTCTTGCATTCAAAGTGAAATCGCATACAGATGTTTTCTAATCTCTACAGGATTGTTTCTCATAGCCCTGTGAAGAATGATGACCAGATCGAGAATGATGACCAGATTGAGAATGATGACCAGATGAACAGTCATTTCCACGATTCTCATGAGGACAACTTGATCCTGAATGATGACTTCTATCATTATGTGAGTTACAAGTCCCAGCTGAATGACCAGTTGAATGATGTCCTCTATTGCAACTGCCTTGGTCATAACCTTGATCATGTTTACGATTTCCAGATCCACAGTCACCATACCCATTACTAGATCTGTCAGAATGTCGTCCTCCATCTCTATCATCTCTATTATCTCTACCACATGATGGTTCTTTAGAGCTGTGCCTATGTTCTCCATCATCATAAGATTTCGAAGCCCCACCATGTGCAGATTTGTCTTTCGAGCATTTTTTTGGTTTGTCCGGACAATAAGTTAGTTTTGGTCTTTTTGGTTTGCATTTCTTTGCTGCTAAATATTCTGCAGTACAACAAGGACAACTTTTAGGATCACCCCTTATCATACGATACATAAGATATGTTAATGTAAGTGTAGCAACTGCAGCACCAGCGATCTGAAAAATAATATATTATTATGTATCGAGCGTAAAATTTTACATGGATTATAGGTTTAATAGAAACTTGCAGCTGTTTTGCCTTTTGTTGTATTTGGGTTAAAAATTTTTTTCACTTCTGACAAATCCATGGTAATATAGGTAGGACTATGGATCGAATTTTGAAATTAAAACATTTAATTTAGGACATTGAAACGAAACAATTTGCAAATAAAAAATATGTGTGTATGATTTACATAAATTTTTTAAAATTTTAAATATTTATTTGATACTTTATAAAAATATCCGTAAGGCTTGCTTTGTTACAAAAAATTAATTCATGTTTTTCTTTAGTAATTGAGATTTTTCTTATATATCTTAATACTCGTACATGAATTTTTGTTTTATTAATGAAACTTATAAGATTTTTCATTTTGTAACCATTAGATCACTTTTAGTTCGATGATACTTCCAAAAGTCACTAGACTTGTTTCCTAATAATCGCAGCACACGAACTTTACTTTGAAGTTCCCAAAATCTGAAGATAGCAGTGCTCTGTAATCCCTTGTCTAAAAGTATGAAGTTAACAAAACTATATTTAGTTAAAAACCCAACAATTAATCTGAGTTCACATCTATTTAGAATTAGAAACTTGCAGCAAATTTGTTATTAAGCTGATTGATTTGTTCGGATATCATTGGATCTTTAACATAGATCTAAGCAGTAATTTTTGAAAAGGCTTACCTTCACTGTTTTCAATCATTAATGCAATCTTGGTTTGGATTCTTGGAACTTAAAGATATATATTTGCTTACGTCCCATGCTTTTGTTCCAAATTTTTGAGACTCATAAATATGTATTTACTTCATGGAATATAGTTGCGAGAAGTTTCATCGCCAACTAGGTATGCAGAACGATTCCCTCTTTAATATCCGAGTAGTTAGTTTGAACTTGACGATTACTCGATCGGTCTTTATCAAAGCTTTATTTATAGGCTATAATCCGCCAACCTTGTATCTTATTGTTCTATAATATATAATGAAGGATTTAATCGTTTGCCAATAAGAGAAGAATGAATTAAATTATAATGATGTATTATTTATATATATTTGCAATTACTGATCTTGGACAGTTTTCAGTTAGACAGCTTGTCCAGTCGGCATCCCATGTATGAATGTCATGTAATAAGAACATGATCCTGAGTAGCATGTGATGAAGTTACATTAAATGAGTTCAATCGATTTAGCTTAAAGAAAATTTTTTCTCTCTAGTACTACTCAACAACTCTGACAGAGTAACATAAAAAACCAAGAAGTATTCAAGTAACTCCTTGAAATCTTTTATTTTTGATTTATTTTAGATTGAAACGTCGCGTGTAAGTATTGAGAGCATCGTATCCCACATCTTCATGACCACCTACAAGAATGTTATTATTTCAAAATCTATATGGAATATATCTACTTAAAGGTATATGTTCAGACAATGTACAGACCACACTTAAACTGTAAAGATACCACTTTCTTAATAACTTTAGTGGTAATAAGTGTAGTCAGTGTATAAAATAAACTCGAAAAACCAATTTGTGTTAATCGAAATATCGTTTCGGCGTCCATCTATATTGAATTCTTCATAGCTGTTCACTCGTTTAAACTTGACATAACTGAAGGAGTTATTGGATTACAGACAGAGTTGTTTAAGATAGTTGTGGAAGAATTTGTTTGCGTAGAGTATTATATACTCCGTCTTATATACTCCGTAAGTTAAACTTCTCGCAGTTTTGTATGAGAAAGATTGGAATCAGCTGTCAATCTATTAATTTGAACTAATCAATGTGGGTGGCAAATTCATTATTGACCACATATTCGTTATACACCGATTATTGTAACGCAAATGAAATACAAATTGATTTATACCGCCTTTCTAAAATTAAACTCTACGACTCCCTAGCTCTGTTTAAGTTAAAAAGAACATAACACAACCTTGTAATATTAAATAAAATTTAAGGCAAGGAGACATCTTATCAAGCGACTTCTTTAATATAACGTTAAAGAAGATTATATTCGGTGCGAGATATCTAGCATTACAATAGAGTTGTATGGACTACGTTTTTTAAGTGAAACAGAAAATAATATGGGTTTTACTACAAATAAAGATAAAAAAAGTATCCTTTACTATTTGGAATTCCAAGATTCTGACGACAATCCACTTTTGAAAATGTGAAGGACTCTGTCCAGGTAGACACCGTTCTCAATATTAGAAATAAAATATTTTTGCCGATAGTACTACTATGTGGTATGAAAAGCTGTCTATTTATTGGATGAACAAAAATAAGTCTTCCAAAATAGTTCATTTAAACCTAATTTTGTATGCCGCAGAAGGACGATGAAGAATAACAATTAACGATCCTTAGAAGTTTTCCAGACTAAAATTTTCCATAAAGCTCATGAATCTAACTATATTAATATAGACCTGGATTGAATGACGAACTATGTGAGCTATATCGCTAAATTGACTTTGTCAACCGGAGAAAGAAATAGTGAGTATATGTCGTTAGAATGGAGTTATCTTCAAAAGAATATTGCGGAAGAGAGAACATTTTAAAAGATAAAAATATAAAAATCTATCACGGTTTGATATTTCTGTCTGGTGTCAGCATGCGACGTGTAGGACGATAGATAGGGGATGTCGAACGCGGTCAAGAAGAGAAGAAGAGAAGAGAAATTCTAATTGAAATGATTTGGTTGAAAGCCGTTTTTTCTAACTCTTTGGATGGTGTTTTTTTAAATATTTTTTTTATAAAAACTAATAACCCCTGATAAAATAAAATAAATTTAGAATTGTATAAAAATTGTATATAAACTTTATTACAGAATAAATCTCGTGTTGAATAGATATTACAGATGATTTTATAATCTATATATGCACTTTGCTAAAATTTTTATCATTCAAGTTTAATAATAATAATTATATAATGATAAGTATAATGAATTATAATTTTTGTGTTATATATAGAAAATAATCTTAAGGCGATTTAAATTTTTTTAAATTCAGTTGAACGTACCCTATAATATTGAAGTTCCTTGGCTAACTTTATTCGTGATCATATCACAAATGGAATAATTGACTTATGAGAAGTAATTAATAATTAGAAATAAAATCTTGATTTGTATTTCGTAATTCTTAATTACAATACGATTTTTTTTGTGAGTTATAACTAGAATCTCCACAGGATTTGTTTACATTTTGATCTGAACATTGGCTACAATTACACTGTGAGTCGTATGATGAATTTTGAGAATTTGATCCTGAATTATTTGATGCTTTGCCACAAGTTAACTCTTCATTACAGTCGGGACAACGACCAGAATCAGAATCATTTCCAAAATTATTTGATTTTCTACCATACGTAGACTCTTTGTTATAATCAGAACAATCACAATTAGACTGTGAATTGCATGAAGAATTTCCACATTGAGATCTCGAATTATTTGACTCTCCATTAGCACATGAATTTTCATTAGAGTCAGAACAACTACAACAACTACAAGATGATGATTTATCATTACAGCCGGAACTGGACTGTGAATTATATGAGGAATTTCCACAATTCGATTCCGAATTGTATGACTCTCTATTAAAACAAGAATTATCATTACCGCCAGAACAACGAGAACTGGACTGTACAGTGCATGAAGAATTTTCATAATTCGATCCCGTATCCTGTGATTCTCCATCACATGACGACTTTTCATTATATTGTGAATTGCAATTATTTGAGTTCGAATCATATGATTTCTTACCACAACTTGATCTGTTATTACTATTATCTGAATTATACTCTGATTTTGATCTTTGACCGCAGTCATTATTTGAAACCTGGGAAGAGTTATAATTATTGTTGTCATATTTATTAGATGATTGGTTGCACGTGCATTCGGTGTCAGATTGATTATTGCAACTGTCTCCATTAGATTTGTTACGAGAAGAATTGTTACATCTGTTATTACTATTATCTGAATTATACTCTGATTTTGATTTTTGACCGCAGTCATTATATGAATCCTGGGAAGAGTTATAATTATTGTTGTCACATTTATTACTTGATTGGTTGCACGTGTATTCGGTGTCAGATTGATTTTTGCAACTGTTTCCATTAGATTTGTGACGAGAAGAATTATTACATGAACTTTCCGTATCCCCGTTTGTCATATCTGAGCAATTTTTCGATTTTGAACCTTTGCCATTTGAAGACTTACATTTCGAACTTTGTCCTTTTTGACAGGATTTTCCGTTTCCATGGTTTCCATGGTTTCCATTCCCACAGGAATTGATTTCACCAGTATGTTTGAAGGCATCACTACACACATTTTTATCAAATGCACTTGATTTTTGCTGAGGAGCAGCATTTGAAGAGCACGTGGGTTCAGTGGGTTCTGTATGGCAACTAGAATTGGTCTTAGTTGAGTCTTTACATTCCTTACAATCGGCTTTCACATCAGCTTTACTACTCCTTGTCAGTCTATAGTATAAGTATAGAAGGGCGAAGGAGGCATATGTGGCTTTCGCAACCTTAAAAATAAAACAACTATTATTATTTTTTAACAACAAATCTTTATATTTATTAAAACTAACATTTGCTCTCCCTTTTGTTGTATTGGCATTGAAAAAGTTTTTTAAGCCCGACATTACTGCTCCTCATATAAATGATTTTCGGATTGAAACTTTAAATTTAAACCATTAGGTCAGAATGGAATTTGCAAAAATAAATTGAAAAATATAAATCTATGAATGAAAGGTTTATTTAATTGGTTATGAATAAAAAGACAAAGTTTACTGAGTTGGAAAATGAAGAAGTGCAGGGTGTGTGATTATAGTTTGAAGAGTATTAATCTCTTAAGAGGAGGACTCCGGAATGCACTGATATGCACTTGTATAGGGACAAGAATTTTGGCTCATTACAATTTATTTTTGTCTTCTAATAATTATCAAATGATAGTTTGATTTATGGTTAATAAAGAACAAAAATGAATATTATTGTTATGGTAAATTAAGTAAGTAAATACTTGCTTACTTTTTTAGCTAACCATTATAAACATGAGTTGTCCTTGTCCGCAAATAGTAATCATAGTCAGCCAGCCAGATCAGTCGTTTCTCTATCGCATTTATCATGTATGCTTAACCTCTCCCTCTAAGAAAGTAAGTAAGTATAATAATAATACGAATGTTTAGACGTAAATATAAGAACATAAGTCTAATTAATTAGCGTTGGTTTATAAAACGTTGGAAATATTTGTTTTTAGTATTAATATGAATACTTTTATTACCAATATCCAATGTAATATTAATTTTAAAAAATTCATATTAGAAAGTATTAATGCCTTGAATTTTATTTTGATAATAGTTCACCTGCTCATATATAAGTATACATTTATTCATATATAAGTAATATAAACTATTTATACAGTTAAGTAGATTCAATACTTTTCTTGGGTTCACATGCAGTAATCTCATTCTGGAATTCATCCAGAAATGAAAAATTAAAATCAACAACGGGAAAACTAAGGCCCTGTTTATAACTCGTAAACACAGGCATTTCGATAATTTGGGTGAACAGCATCAAATACCTGGGATTCACGTTTGATAAACGATTCACTTGGCACAAGTACATAGAAGACAAAAGAAGTAGTTGTTACGGCCACTTGTTGTTACGGCATTGCTAACAGTCACTTCTTAAACACAATAACCTTAGCGCTAAGAACAGAATCGGGTCTATTCTGAGGTCAAAAAATACATATGGGATACGGGAAAATTGTAAGCTACCCAACATTGCACTATCTATTCTCAGAGCAGTCACTAGCCGTATGGAATGGTATACAGATCTTAGATCAGTCATCGAATAATCAGCGAAGCTTGTGAGAAATACATAAATTAGTCAAAGAGAAGGGAGGGACTCTGCAGAAAGCCCCTAGCTAAGAAAGATTAAAAGTGCCTAGTTGCATTAACTCGGAAAAACCTCAACATAACATAAGATATTCGTAATTATATAGGTAAAGTTTTTTGCGATCAAGGCCAGGGACGCAGAAACAAATACATACAAAAAAAAATACGGTTATAATGTTAAATTTGGTTTTATTAATTCAATAATTTAAATTTATTTATTTGGTGTACCATAAAAAAAAGGATGCGTTTTATCAGTACACAAAAAGAAAATTTTCGTAATTGTGGTAGATTAAAAACATGTCGCGGGCTCTACAAACATTATTCGCGGGCCGTACTTTGGACAGCTCTGTTAATATATATTTTTTTAGTAGAGTACACTAAAATATAATAATTAATATTAATATTATATTTTTCATTCAGATATTATGATTTCATTTTATTTATATAGATTTGACGGATCCGATTGAGATCTCGACATCTCGAGAACATCTTCCTCTAGTCTGTATATATGGTAAACATTACTAAATAAAAAAGTAACATAATTGATTGTTAACCAAAAATAAAATAATGAATTAAAAATATAACATCTTTCATAATAAAATATTAAATCAAATATAATTACAATTTAATAAGTTTTTCGGAAATATTTTTTTAAATTTATTTTGCATAACGTAAAAAGCTCAATTTTACATTATGTTCTCTCTCATTTCATGCACGCATCGTTGTATTTGCGAAGTAGTACAGAGAAAAGCTATTACACAAATAATACTCAAACTGCAAAGCAGTGAATATTGAGTTCGACTATGTGCACAGCGTGCGAGTGTAGTGGTACAATGTAAATTCATCTCAGTGTCGAAAAGAGCATTCACACATTATGTATGTAAAAACTCTCAAATGAAATTCAGTCGTAACAAAAATCTTGTAGATGATGTATTCCCGGTTGGAATTTTTGATTCTTTATCTAACGCGTTTTGCATTTAAAATCTAATTTTTATTGTTAAATAATTATTAATAAAATGTGAAAAAAACGTTAAATCAATTCTGTGTCAAATACAATAAATAAATCAAGTGCACGTCTGTACAATATGTGTAATGGCTAAAAAACGGTAAAGTTCGTTTGCCTTAAGATACATAAAAAGTAAGCAAAGAAGAAGAAAAAAAGTATGAATGTAAATCTAAATTTGAAAGTGCAGTGGTCGCAGTTTCGTCTTACTCGAAGAGTTGTAAAGTCTTTGTTGAAAATTATCACTAATACTTTATTTAAAATAAAAAAATAAATGTTAAAAAATTAATTGAAATTTTTAAAGAAAATTTAATAACTAAAACGCGCCCAGTTTTTAATGAGTTTTTCTTGCATATTCTTGTGTAGTTTTCATGTTTGCTTCGATTAAAATTTTTTTCTTTTTTTTATGGTTTAATACTTTGTGTATGTATTTTTTGTATCTATGAAATTTGGAGTGTTTTCAGACTCATTTATGGGTTTTATGTAAAGGGTGGGTGGGAAAAAGAAGAAGAGTAATAGCGGAGCACAATGTATGCATAACAAAATGTTCTCTGTTGTTTGAATTTGAATGAAATTCGCATGCGAGAGTATTGGTATTTGTTTATTTGGTGTTAGAAGAGTGTGACTAGTGTTGTTGTGTGAGTGCTCACGTGCTAGTATTGCCAGTTAAAAAATTCCAATTGATATATTGTGCATAATTATTAAACGTCATAATTCTTGTTGGATGTAAATTGTGTTTTGTTTACATTTCAAAAAGTGTTTAAATTACAATAAATAAAAATATATTTTTTTAAATATTTAAAGTGTAAATATAGAAATTACTTAATCTTAAAATGTGTAATTTTTTTTCGTAATTTTTTAGCTTTGGCAAATTATGAATTCTAAATAATTTAAACAAAAGATAATATACACATTAAAAACGAAGAGAAAATAAAAAAAAAACTAAAATGTAAAAGCTTTTAAATAAAATTTTATTACTTCTACATTAAGTGGCTTTTTAAAAGTGCTGAATATGTTGAAGTTTTACTATTGAAAGCAAATACTTCAACTGTGCAAACACGAACAACAACAACACAAACACCAACAACAACAACAGCAACTGTCATAACTGTTGGATTGTTTTTTTTTTTAAATAAACAAAACTGAGTTTCAAATGTCAAGTGGATAAACAGAGGAGCATACAAGAGCTGACGCATTAAAAGGTTTGTGTGAGCGATTTCCATTTTATTAGCTATAAAAATTTAATGGATTTTTTGATTTTTTTGATTTTAGTGCAATATTCAATTACAGTTTTTATTTACTTTCCAACAAACTATTGCAATATTTTATAAACATTTGATGCAATTAACCGATCAACGATCAGATAAGCAGGCGAAAAGTGCTTAGTAGATCGATTTGGGCAACTCAAAATTTTCAATCAATTCAAATGGTTCGATTATTTTGAAGTAAATTAAATTTTATTGCAGTAGTTATTCCTTTGCGATTACTTCACCTTCTCATAAAAAATAATAATTTAAAATTTCTATAAATGTTTAAACAAAATGTGAGTTCATGACTTTGAATAAAAATAAAGCACGGTTTTGTAAAAATTTTTTAATTTGAATATATTATTTAGTATATAATTTTGTAATTAACCCTCGGAGTAACATTAGCATGTCTTTCTCAGAATTACGTTCCTAGATTAGGTTCTATACATAAGAAAGAATATATAAATCATGCAACAAATAATGCAACTACAAACAGAACAGTATTGAAATTTAACAATTAAAAATAAAAATATAATTAATTAATTCAATTATTCTACAGCTGGTTTGTGATTTCGTTCTAATATAAACACAGCAAATAAAATTGTTAATAAAAACTTTCACAAAACTCCAGAAAAATATGCAAAAATTAAGTTAGTTAAAAATTAATTAGTTGGTTAAGGTGCACTGAGTCTGAGCTTCAAATTTGACAGGACATAAGTCCGATTTCTCGTACTTGCAGTCTCAAAAAATTATTTCCGAATAAATGAATATAAGAATAGTTTCCAAAAACACGGATGATGGGTATTTGACAATTATCGAAACAGCTACATTGTCAGCCAAAAATTCAATTAATTATAAATAATATAAAATTAATTTTTGTTGTTGTGGTTCACTAATGTTCGAAAAACCTCTTTACAAAAAGAAACAAATTTTTTGCGATATAATTACATATTCCCAATTAAAGCCTAGTACTAAAATCCATTTCGCAAATGAAAAATTGACACAAAACTACATAGAAAAAAATGTTCTACAATTTTCAAATTTCGTGGATCATTTTTCCTTATTCTGTAAGTGAAGAAGCTTCTATCTTATATTATTAAGTAGGTCGATTGAAAATTGAGCTGGGGTGAGCATATTATGGGGAATATAACGCAGAAGATGATCAGAAATTGAGGATGCTTGTGCATCATATTATTAAATGAGTCGATGAACAATTGAACTGGGGGAGTATTTTATGGGGAATATAATGAGGAGTAATAGGCTTAACTCTAGAAATATGTAGTAAGTAGAGTTTTATTCAATACAAAATCTATATATAAAAATCTTAATGAGGTTTAAAAATTGTTAGTGTAAACAAACGATTAGAAACAGCAATTATATTTTACTTGAATTGTTCCTTTATTAAGTTTAGAATTTAAATAATTGACGACGATATGAAAAATATATATATAAAGATGTTTACACAGATGTTTACTTATTTAAATGACCATAATAACTCCTTACGGTGTTTCGGCATGTCATTGCGTAACGGTGTTTCGGCATGTCATTTATTCTCAAGGAAATAATGAAAATTAATTCTTAAATTAAATTACAGCTGTTTTAATGACACATCAAGTGTGATTTCATTTGATATATATATGTATGTATTTATAAAAATATTTGCACATCAGATCGAGAGTAAATCTAGATTGAATCAAGATTTACCAATCGAAAATGCCATAATGTAGATGTAGAGATTTGTAGAGATTTCTTTGACTTTATTACTAGAAATAATTCTTACAACTATTAATGCTCCTTTTTCATATCTATTCTTTACGAAATAAGTGAAATTATACTTCTCTCATATTACCTCTATATTGCATATAGAAGTAATATAGATGTAACTAATTTTAATTTCTTCTCTTTCCATAACTGAAAATTTGGATTTTAGGACTAATTTTATTTGAAAAGCATTTATTTGTATTCACGAGTGTCTAAATTTGAATAATGTGAGGGTTTATTGTACCATGAACAAAATTGGCTTTTATTCAGTACAATATGTTGAGCCTTTTCCGAGTTAATGCATCTGGGCACTTTTACTCTATGATGGCTGGAGGGTTTCTGCAGAGTCCCACCTATCTCACTGACTAATTTGAGTATTTGTCATAATTTTCGTGATTATTCCATGATTGATCTAAGATCTGAGTACCGCCCATGCGATTAGTGATTACAATATATATATAAAACACAGTAACAATCCTTCTAACAGATGCCTCTATTGAATAAAATCCGTTATTGGAGTGCACAATGTTTCTAAAACCAAATTTTTTTGTGTGGCTATGGATATTTTTAAAAAATATTTATTAGCATTATTTTTAATAATTACAACCCAATATAGATCCTATTTTCTTTTACAGAAATTCTATAATAAGCACGATTAATACCGCTAATTTCATTATATTAGGTGTTATTATCACTTATAGACTTATCTTCGATCTAACCTAAAAAATTACAAAATTACGAAATATAAAAAAGAAACTGTTTAAGTTTTTGAGTGGATTACTTCCTTAAAAATAATATAAAAACGATTTTTTTACAGATTGGAGTATAGGACTCATATACTTCAGTTTACATTCTTTCCATTAGTAGAAAATATCAAGAATATCTTCTTTAAAATCCATACGCTTTAGTAGGCCCTTGTGAAAACAGTTATAAAGCACATTATTTATATTAAACTAAATTTGATGGGATCGATTTAGTTTTTGTGCATTTAAGTTTTAAGGTTTCTTTCGAGGAATATGGTAGAGTAAAATGGCGAATAATCTCTAATTTTAGGCAGCGAAAAGATATCTGCTGACTAACCAACATTATTTATGATTAATCCATTTAAATTCTTCAATACAATGTTGTTATAATTCGATACGTTTGATTGAATCAGGTTTTAATATGTTATGATGATTTAACCAAAGTATGCGGCTGTCTGATGGTAGGTTACTTTCATTCTAAACATTTCTTTAGGTTCAAAAGTAGGAAATTACTGCAAGTTGCAAAATCTGACAGATATGGTGGATAGAGAAGTAGTTTAAGTCCTGATTTTAAGAATAAGAATAGAGTATATCATTTATTGCCTGCCTGATGTGAAGTTTCTTTCCTTCCAAACATTTCTTAAGGTTCGAAAGTAGGAAATTACTGTAAGATGAGAAACCTAGCAAATATAGAGAAGTATAGATGAAGTCATAGCCCAATTCATAACAAATAATATTTCATTTGTTATATTTAAACGTTTCTGTCGTAAACTTTTAATATAAAAAAACTGTGTATATAATTTTTGTATTTTTTTTATTTGTATTTATTTTTTTACATAGTCCCTTGCTATAAAAATTTTCGTAGTTTTTTAAGTTCTTTCTCAGAGCGGAATAATTGAATAACTGTTTAATTTGAACAAAAAACAGTTGTTTATTTTATTAGTTTACTATAATAAATTTTAAATGATAAACAAATAATAAAAAACAAATTAACTCAAAAAAGAAATATATTACTATTTATTTATACTCTATTCACACGAGAGTTTTGTTGAAAATATCAGTTGTCATAACGACTTATTCTTGATTTCGACAGGAAAACAAATTGAAATCAAAAATGATTTGTTGAAAAAAATTGACAATAATATTACGTTAAATATATCTTAGGATTAAATTATATTCGATTCTGATTTTCCTATCTTACCCTCAACATCTGCCTTGCGAATGCAAGTTGCGTAGCAAATGTCAAGGTGGTTTCATCAAAACAAAAATAATACATATAATTGCGTTTAAAATTTCTAATTAAATTCTTTAATTAAATAAAAATTTTAATCAAATATAATCATTTCTACGAAAATACAGAAAAAAATTTAATTAAAAAATTCAGAAATTGCTTCTTCCTATTACAGTGCATTGATCGCATTTCTAAAAGGTAATTTGACAGCTGACAATGAAATAAAAAACGTAACAACAACAACACAAAAGCAGCAGCAGCAACAACAGTAAAATATTTTCGTCTTACATACGTGTTTTCTCTTGAGTATAAATGAGAAACAGCATAAAAAATTCCAATCATATCGTTGAGTTTAAAACACATGTGTATGTGCAACATTTGAACACAAATTCTAATAAGAAAATTGATACACACTTTTTGTTTACTCCTGAGTAAATGCAATAAACATATGTGTATGAGCCAAAGAGAGAGGGAGAGAAACCAATATAAATGTTCGCTCATACTCTTTGAATTAAATTGTCTCATTATTATTATTATTTTTCAAGTTAAATTTTATTTATAAATAAAACACAAAATATGTATGCATATAATTTGTTTGGAATTTAACTTGGTAACAATTATCCAAAAGTGTTGCAACAAAGTTAAATAAATTTTTGTACAATGCACAAAAATAGATATAAAGTGGTAATGCAAAAACTATGAATGATTCAACAAATTTAGTTTAGAAAATAATTTCATGCATTTTTGTTTTTACACACATGCCAACAACATAAACGATATACAAATCAAGTCAAGGAAAGGGAAGGCGCCAACGGTAAAAACAAAAGCAAAAGCAAAACCAATGATTATCGTTTCATATTTTGTGTTTGTTGTGTGTATTTGTTTACATTTGTGTTTACACGTGTTCCGACTTTCTGTTGATTTCTCAGTTTCAATTTATCTAAAAAGGCTACTCTTTCTCAAACATTTAAATAAATAAATAATAAACTAAAAGCCATAAATATATTTATTTTTTTTATGATTTGTTGTGTTTTAAATAAACAAAAAACAAGGTCGTACGTTATTATTGTTTATTTCAATTTTTTCTTTTTTTTGAAATTCAAATAAAAAAAATGTTTTGTTCTAGTTTTGAAGTGGAGTTTTTATGTTGTTTACATTAAACCGTCTCATTTTTTAAAAGTAAAAAAATTTACTATAATTATTTATATATGATACGATTA